TTCAAGACTCCCTCCTCTTCCGGCCGGAACGGAAGGTTTGGTATCTCTTCATACCAAGTGATCAAATCTTCCAGCTTGGGCCGCGATGCGTCCCGAGGGATCTTGACTCGCCAGTCGCAGATCGGGCAGGTGTACTTGTCGTCCTCCTTCACTTTACCACGGGCAATCTTCAGACACTTGCCATGATACCATTCATGGCACTGCTCGCACTCGATCATCATACCCGCTTCCACACGGCGGCAGATGCAGAACACTTGCCTCGAGCCATTTTCATCTTCGTTGTCCGAGGAGTCATGTTCTCCATCCACACTGGGCTCCCTGGATGCTGGCTCAGCAGGCGATCTTGGCGTGTCCTCGACAGTGTTGAAACACCACTTATTTCGGTCGAGGACGTAGTCCATGTGGCTTTTAAGAATGTGCAATGGGGCGTTACTCTTGCCAAAAAGCTTCTTCCCCTTACGCATCCAGTCTTCGTGGCGCTTTTGTTCCTTTTCAAGGTCAAGCGTGCCGGGAGGCTTGGCCTGGAGTTCTTCGACCTTCCTCATCACCTCAGCAACCTCATTATACTTGGGTCTTTGGGTATAGTCCGGATCTGCGGAGCGCTTATTCAGGTCGATGATCTGGCGTTGAGCCTCACGTTGTTTGTATAGTATCGCGTCGACCATATCCAGTGTCCCCTTGGAGATTGGCAGGTTGGCGTGTTGTGCTTGTACCGACAAGGAGTCAAGTTGCGAGTAGTTCACAACATCGGCGTTGATCAACTCTCTGGCCTTCTTTTCCCATTCTCGACCCTTTTCAAGTTTTTCCTCCAAGTATTTGATGTTATCCTCGTATATTTGGATACCAAGGCGCTTTCCCTCGTCTACCAACTCTTGCGCCTCATCAAGGGTCATGAACTTGGATCGACTTTCCCGGGCCTTTTCGTCCCATCTGAGTCGCTCCAGCGCGCTGTAGAGCTTTTCTACCTCGGGAATATCGACGTTGAAATTCTGGCCTTCCTCAAGGAGCTCTTCGATTGAACCGATTGGTTGAAGGTCTCGTGGGAGATCCAACACCTTCTTTGCAGTCTCCTGGAATGCTTTGATCGCCTCGGCTCGCTCCCGTAGTTGTTGAATCTCAGGGCATTCGAACCCAATCATCTCCGCTTCGTCGAGGAGGCGATGGATGTTGGCAACGTTGCGCATTTCTCGCTCCTTTTGATCGTGTTCAGCGTTTCCGACGGATTTTCGGACGCTGACTGGCCAAGCCTTTTCGCTTTTTCGGCGATTCTGCTGTTTGCGGATAGTGTAATTAGTCGCCTCTTCTACCCAGTGGTTACAGCGATCGACGAAAAGTTTGAGAGTGGAAAGCGATGGCAACTCGTAGGGAATCTTCTCGCCTTCGCTTAGCAAATTGCGTAGCGCCTTGAGTGACGGTTTCGCTTCGTCGTCAAGGAGTCTTTGATATTTCTCCTCCCATGTCTCCGGCACACTGGCCTTGTCGGTCACCCGTTTGAGGGTAGATGCCATGACCTCATCCGATTTCCGGTAATAAAGAGCGTGTTCTTTGCCTAAAAAGCGGTCTGATTCCTGAGCATCGCAGCATTTGTGGCTTCCAGCATGTAGTAAGCATAGTACCATGCCCGTCTTCAGGCATACAAACCGGGATAGGTAGGTATACGCCTTGCAGTAGAAACATGCATACTCGTCTTCGGGTACGTCCACATCATTGACGGCAAACTGGATCGGGCACTTGTCGTTCGTTTCTCCGTTAAAAACGCAGAGATGGTGCGGAGACGGATGTTTTGCGTCGAGATGCGTGGCGATAAAGTCATGCTTACCGATGAACTCTCTACGCTGCGCCATCTCTCGCTGATGGATCCGATCGAGAGCAGGGGCGAGCCATTTCGCTGTTTGGATCGTTAACCCGGTACCCGTGATTCCATCTGCCGCGGCCCATAACAGCTCGTCATGAGAAAAGCATGGTTGCCGTCGGAATGTCTGAAGTCGTTCCACTCCAGCAAGGCCGAATGGCTCCCAGTCACTAGGGGCGAAATTGACGGCTTCGTTGAAGTTAAAGCCATGGTTGAAGCCCGCGTGGTAGGCCTGTGGGAAGGTGATAACAAACTGGCCGGCCCGTTGATCCAGCGCATATACACGCACGCCTGCCTTTTTGAGTTGTTCAGGCGTGAGCAAAGTGACCAACTGGAATAGGAGATCCGGTTGCGTCTCAAACAGCTCCGGAACCGCTTCACGCATTGCGGCCTCAAACTTCTCAGCATCCTCGCCGGGGATGCCATACCAGGTCTTCGTTGCGCCAAAGTGCTGGTAGTTGGCAGAGTACGCATAGTGATCTTCGTTGTGCCAACAAAAGGTAGAGAAAATCATGCCCACATATACCCACGGTACCGTCATGCCGGAGATGTCAGTCTTGATGTACCTGAAGAGACTTTCTGGGTGAAGAGGCAGCAGGTTGAGATTCCATGGATCCGTTGAGTAGGGATTGTTGGGATTCTTTTCCACGGTCGGGAATCCAGAGCCATGTGTCGTGCAATGAATATCTGCGCCATATTCGACTTCGACGGTCTCCTCCAGATCTGCGACCAAGCGCCAGAACTCACGCTCAACATCGTCTTCGGTAACCGGACGATGACAATTGAGAACCGCATCGAAAGGCATCTTGTTTTCGAAGTAGCCTTGCTTAAAGTCGGCAGCCTTCTCTTGGAACTGCTTGAGCGAATAGAGACCGCCCTCTTCGAAGCCAAACTGGCCGTCTCCGACGAGACATCTCGGGCAGTTCCATTCATTCTCTGGTTTGGTCTTGAGAGGAGGATCCAGGCACGAGCCATGATAGTGGTTATCGCAGGATTCGCAAACCAGCATGCATGAGCTCTCCTCACTACCCTTGCCACATTGCTCGCAATTCTACCACAGTGTCAGTAGAGGTCCACATTTTAACGTTCATGTCAGACCTACCTCTCCCGAACTCGAGTCCTCTCTTGGAATTCTGGGTGCAGAAGGGCGAAAGAGCGACATATGTGAACCAGCCACTGTTGGGACCGAATCTGTCATAGAGGTCAGGTTAGCGTATGTAAGCCAGGAAGTGTCCTGAACTCGGAGCACAGATTCCCAATGAGATGAGACGATGTTCTTGCTTCGAAGACGATAAGACTGTGTGCAGCACCACATGCCTCGGCCCGCGAACCTTGATATGCCTGAAGGCGGGGGGAATGATATGACCTACCCTTCTTGAGCCTCTTGCTACGACGACTGCCTGCTTCTCCATCGTCCTTGTCCACCGAGCTTTCCTTTTTGGCGGAATCTGACGTACTATCGAAGCTTAGTTGCCGCTTCAGTGAAGACGAGCCAGCTGCTGATGGTCGAACTTCCGGGGTATTCTTGGCAGAAGATAGCGGGGTGATGGCTTCTGATGCAGGGGCCAGCGGACGGTTTATACTCGTGAACCCGGAATTGATCGCCGTGAAGCCTCCAGTGTTGATGGCTGTGAAGCCACTTTTGACCGGTGGCGCTGGTATCGATGGGGCGTCTAACATTGTGACATCCCGATCAGAATCCTTGGCGTGCCCGTTTACTGCTGTCTCCATGGGGTGCCGAGATGGAGATTCACCGCGAAGGTCTGAGGGGGTTTGGGCATTTGATCGCTTCATTGGGCTCGGGGCTGGGCTGGGTGTGAGAGGCCCACCGTATTCCAGCTCGAGTTGCTGATGAACGCCAGGCTTTGCGACTCGCAGATAGTCTTCGTACGGACAAAGCCATTTTTGATACGAATTTTTCAGCGATGTGGAAAGAGATGACATGATCTTCCCGCTGTAGCCCAGATCACGTCCGATTTCCGCCCATTTTTTCAGCTTGCACACCTTGTCGAACCCTCCCCTAGCTTCAACGGCTTTCTTTAAGCGAAATAAGTCGAGCGGCTTTTTGTCAACGTACGGGAGCCGCGTGAGGTTGTTCCCATGTTGTCTGTGAAATTTTTGAAGGGCGTCGATATAGTTGATATTGGCGCGCGAACTGCCTTCGATCGAGTTAAGTTCTTGCTTGCGGGTACGAAAGTGGAATCTCTGCAGTAGCATAGGTCAGCAAGCCCATTCGTAAAATCTGTGCTCTGAAAAAGTGCGTGGTTGCAAATGGCATCACGGCTGCTGACGGGCGAGCGAGCGTACCTCGGTGTCAATTGCAAAATCGGGGTTCCATGACTCGGGCGGGATTATCTTGCAGATACCAAATTTGCTGGCCTCTGGTGTGATTTTGCGAATGTACTCGAAGGGCTCTTTCCACTCCTCCTCAGTTGGGCAGTAAGATGGTGCCTCTTCAAGACCGTGAGGTCGGTTCTTCTTCTTTGAAGGTTCCTTGCACGCGGTAGGCTGGCCGCGTCGCTCCACCGAATTCAAATCGAGAGGTTCGCTCTTCATGAAGCTCAACGGGATCTGGGATTTCGGAGGATGGTAGCCGTTCGAGTTGACAGGCGCTGTCTTGGACTTGCCGTTGCTGGAATGGGAGGTAACGGTAGGGGAGGCTCGCGCGCTTGCATTGTTACTCGACGTTCCGGCAGCCGCCACAGCGACAGACCCGCCTCCAGACGGGGTGGACACCATGGCGAGTGGAGGCTATCTTTGGAGGGCGAATTGATAATCACACAGGCGAAGATCGGTGGTGGTGGGTGGGTCGAGACGCAGCTGTAACGTATTGGTGTGTACGAAATCGGAGGTCTCTGTCTTATCGAAATATCGGACGCATCGTAGGTTACAAGGCTGAGGGCTGGTTTGGGGAAGAACAGTCGACAGCGCAGGGCCGCGAAATGATATGGCGCTACAGGGAGTTGTGCGTAGATTGGGGATGCGATATCCGGTTCTGCGCTGCTGCTTTTAGTAAGTGCAGGGTCTGCGCAGACGAAGAACTGTGGCGGGCAGGTTGAGCGTATGTTGCCCAGGGAGCGAGCCCTGAGAACCTGAAAATTGAGGGCCAGAAGGCGACTAAGAGGGTAGGTATATCGTTCGTGCGTGTATGTGTCGCAGAAAGGAAATGCAGATCGAACCTCGTCCGAGTTCCTCCACTACCTCGGTCTACCGTGTTAGGGTTGGCTGTTTGTACAGACACTCCGTGTGTAGATACCGTGAGTGACAGCAGAAGTAGCCTGATTTGCAGCTGGAAAAGGCAATGTGGTCCGGGATCCGTCGGTGACGACCTGAAGGTTTGTCGTCGGAACTAATCAAGGTTGCAATACGGGGTTGGACAACTGGATGCGTTCGAAGTGAGGCTGGTTGATGATTGTGAGAATGAGTGGATTGACCCGGAAGGGCGGAAGGGGTGGCCGAGCAGAAAGCCAGATTGTTCCAAAATTGTTATGGCGTTGGAAACGGGAGTGCAGACCGTGACTGGAGAGAAAGAGAGAGAAATGAAAATAGAGATGGAGGCCAGGGCCAGGCGGAGACCGGAAGGGAGCAAGAAGTGGAAGTGAAGGTGGAAGAATGGCCGGGACCTGGACAGCACGGGATGATGTGAATGGTGAATCGATAAAATGTGGTGTGAGGATGAAGTGTGTGGACGCCCAAGACCAGCAGTGAACTGACTGAGTGATAGTAGCTTCCCGGTCCCAGATCTGAAAGTGGTGCAGAGGTATACAGTTTTTGAGGGTTGTAATGTGTGTAGATGGGAATTGGGTTACTATCAGTTAGGAAGAGGGCAGGGGCATGTTACTACATAGTGGGCCCATTCCACTTGCACAGGTTGAGGCTGGTTTGACGGGCGGCGGGACACGGAAGACGTTCAAATCCAACAAGGACCAAAGGCAAGCGGCGCTGCGGTAGCTGTCGGGACGAAATGGGGGAGGGCGCAACTCTTGCAGCGCGGTCATGGTAGCAGCGAGCGACGCCAGACATGATGCCGCCCGCCATTCGAGTTCAGTCGCGGTCCTCCGGCATCTGGTGGATCTCCACTAGACCCTTCTAGGCCAAGTTCCGTACCTCTGTATCTTCGATTTTCAATGTCATCATCGATGGATCGACTCCGTTTGGATAACAAAACAAAGTCGCACCTGATACTCATCAACCCATCTACTACAGTCAACCCCGTACCAATCGAGAAAAAGTGCGCGCGCTTCGTTATGTTAAAGTACGTGCGGCTGAGGTCAATATTAACAGCCTTTTCGCCTTCTATCTTTTGTTCCTGCGTAGACTGGCCGGGGATGTGTGTTCTTCATTGACGGGAAACTCCAATGTGCCAACATATCAACCGTACACCTGGGTAGGTGTCGATGAGTCGTAAATCAACTTTTCCTTTCTCCCATTTTCTCTGGAAAGTTCGGGGTCCTCCTTCTCACGCACTGGGCAAGTCTTGTCCATCCGCCGCAAACACAGTGTACTCCTGCAAACTGTGTTGTGCTTGATCCGCCCCTCCAGTGGTCGAGATATTGGCAGGGGTGAAGGTCCGGGCTGCGGTATAGGCATCAATGCGCCATCATGACTCTAATGCATGACCGAACAATATGGTTTGAGGAAGGATAGATATAATTCGTTTTGAAACATCACTGTCATCGCGCTGGGGCATGAGAAAGGAATCAATGGAATAAAAGAGCGGAGGGTGGTTAGCTTGTATGCATCCGGAAACAAATACTTGTGCTTTCCACTGCTCCGCGCATTTCGAAACATGAATCACCACACCTGAATGACCAAAAATGGTCCGAAGTTTTTGGGTTCTCGCAAGTTTCGATCGATTGGGTCGCCCGTGGCCAGCAAAGAAAATCACTAGACGCACGATCATCAGTCCTGCCAAAATCGCAACTGTTCAAATGATCACAAATGTATGGTGAGTCTGCAGGTTGTTACAATATCCTGAATCTGGGGGAAAGCCATAGGGCAATGCGACAATTGGAATACCGCAAGCGGCCAAATGTGCATGGCAGTTCCAGGTGGCAGTCCGACTCGGGGTTCAGTCGGAGTCATAAAATGCCTGGAGACCACATCCCATCATGTTCCATGAAAGAGAAAAGAGGGACTCGATGGACCCGGGAAATCTAAGCACCGGTCGAACCGAAAGAAAGGCCCTGATATTGACAGGGGTATGGCCGTCAGTAGTCGCATCGCCCTCCAATTAGAAAAGACTCGACGTTGAAGAGAAATGCCAAGGCCAGCAGACTGGGGCGATTTCCCTGCGTTGGCGGGGCAGATCTGAATGACTCAGCAGACACGTGAAACCGCAACCGGCACCTCTCTTTCAACCCTCCGAGCCTCTTCCCAATGAGTCCAATCACATCTGTGGTTTCCCTAGCTGTTTCTGTTGGCTGGTCTTATGCTTTGAGTCGACCAACTTGATCATGTCACGGCATGCGTGAGACTTGGAGTCCCAGAGGCCAAGGATAAATCAACAAGAGCATATCGTGATCGTGCCAGCAATTAGAGCCAGCTCTCTGAAGTCTGGATTCTTTCGCCTACTGAAGGCACGCGATATCGAGAAACTCGCTGTCTTCGCTATCCTCCACGACCCTCTGAGGCGTCGTCTTCACCTCTCGATTCCCTTTTGTATTTTTCTCCTCAGCATTGTTCCCTTTCTCATCAGCGACCTTCCCTTTGCCCTTCCCCTTGCCCTTTGCTGCCCGTTGCCTCTTCTTCTTCAGCAGCTTCTCCACCTCTGCCTGCCCCCTGATCCTTAATGTCAACTCCTTCATCATGTCTCCCCAAAGAACCTCGCCGTGACACTTTGGACACTCTCCCTTCACTGGAAGTATCTCATCCCCTCTATCCATCTTCATCCTCCTTGTTTCTTGCTTCAGGAGACACCGGCTCCAACAGTCAAGGTGTCCTACAGCCTCACAGCTTGTATTCGGGCAGATCGCATATAACCCCCTTCCCGCCACCATAGCCTCCTTACACACCACACAGCTCCCCTGCCTTTCAAACTCCCAAATCTCCTGACCCTTGGCTACGTACTCTTTTATCGGCGCGTAATCGAGCGGTAAAGCATAGATCCCATGTTTGTTCTCATCTTGCGCGTCGTCGCCGTCGTCGTCATCGTGCGGGTCATTTTCAGCTTCTTCCCCCACCCCAATCACGCCCGCCCCTTGTGGCGCCGTCGGACTGCCAAAGTCCGTAACCACCTCTACCTTCAAGTCTCCCAACTCTCCCACCCCTCCTCCGCCACTCTTACCCTTCCCACCACCTCTCTCCCAAACCCTCCAAACATCCTCCTCAAAGAAATGCACCCTCAAAGGCCACCTCCCAAAGCTTCTCACCCCCACCAACATCCTCAAAGCCTCCATCACCCCCACCAAACTCTTCCTCGGCCTTTTCAGGTGTCCCGTCTTCCTTCTCCCCAGTCCCTTCACTGCCTCGGCTCTTTTTTCGGCAGGAATATGCAGCGACTTGTGTGGGTTATTCAAGGCCCATTCAAACTTCAGCGCGGCGATCATGCTCGGAAAACCGGAGACCAGACAGACCATGTTCCATGGCCGAAGGGATATCTTCGAAGTGCGGTAGGCGCCACCCTTGGCGAGCCCGTTGTGTTGTGAGAGGCGCCGGGGTGGGTGAGGCGTGGAGCCGATGTAGAGGGAAGCGTGCCGGGGCTGGGAGCGGAGGATGTAGACTGTGTAGAGGGCGGGAATGGGTTTGGGCTGGATTTGGGTGGTGGTTGACATCGTTTCTGTTTTCCTCTCTTGGGAGGGAAGTGGATTTGTTTTCTATAAGTGAGGTTGTCGTGACGTTTGGCTTGTTGTCATTTGCGGTCAAGACCTTGTTCTTATTTGCGGATTTCCCGGTGGACAATTTGCTTGATGATGAATTAGATGTGAACCGAGTGTCGCGTCAGTCGGGACAGTCACCAAGAAGTACCGAACATTCGTTGATTGCACCCATTGGGCGATTGTGGTATTTTCGAGGTGCAAAAAGCAAAGCGTAACCAAGTTTGTATGTGATGAAAATTGGTAACAGTGAAGAAGTGGAGGTTGCCGTCTTTGTTTACAGGATGTTGTTTATTCATGGCCGCAGTACCCGGAATGGCTGCCCAATTATTTCACGCCCTTGACCTCGCTATACCCCACTTGGTGGGTCCAAGCTTTCTAAGCCCTTGGCTGCTCTGTTGGTTTCACAGGATGAAATGTCAAACAACCTCACTATCTATTTATTCTTGAAATAGTCCGAATTCGTAGCTCGATTGTGGACGGGAGGACTTTTGGGTATAATATTATCGTCACAATGTGGAGTTTTAATCTTGACCAATCATAAAATCCTCTACCTATCTCATCCATCTTCTAACACCTCTCAAAGCAGACCCTGCTTCTGCAGATCAAGATATACCTTTTCTGGCATGACATTACCCTCAGCGTCCTCCATCTGCACGATCGAGCCCTCATCCACGTTGGTCTTTCTCGAGTCACCTTGAATCTTGTTCCACAGCCTCACCGCCTCCTCGATAGACGTGATGTCTCGGAACAGATGTGTGTTTGTGATACCCAGACGCTTCAGGTTGGTGATGTGATTTGTCTCGTTGAAGTGCTTATCAAAAGCACGCCGGCCACGGTAGACAAAGTTGCCACAAATCTCGCAGGGAAATTCTTGGCCCAGACCATGCAACCTGTAGAGCCAGAAGGGAATCGGCTTTCCGTCCCAAGCCAGTGGTAGCTTGAGCGGGTTGTAGATCTTATCATCTCCGCCATCATCCTCGTCTTCCTCAGCCTCCTTAGCCTGCCTTCTGAACGTGGTGTTGTAGAGATTCTCCAACTCTTGTTGCCGCTCACGCTCCGTCATGCCCTGCCTACGTTCAACGTTCACTCTTGTGTCGTCCCGCTCCGTCTTCATAGCGCTGGAAAGCTTCTTGATGCGGTACTCCCTCTCAGCGACCGCCCGTTCCTTGAGGCGATGCGCTAGCGGGGCAACCGTGCCGTTTGATGTACCGTTGGCCGACTCTCCGTGAATCGCCGCCAACACCTCAGCGGCCTTAATGTGCTTCCTGCCGGAAAGATGGTTCGTGTAAACGTTTTCGTTCTTGAACTCCTTCTCGCATGCCTCGCACCAAACCGCGTCAGCGCTGCTCAAAGTCCGGTCTGTCGCAGAGCCCTTGGCCGCCAGCTTCTCCTTGCGCCAACCTTCAATTTCGTCCTTTTCCCAAGCCGAATCGAATTCCTTGTCCCAGTCACCAAACACCTTTTCGAGATTTTCGAGTGGTCGCGTGCGTCGAATGAAGGATTCCAGATACTCCATCAACTCGCCAAGGTACTTGAAATATTGGTCGGTCAACTTGTCGGCCCGCTTGACTCCACCATAACCGGGTTGGAAGTTGTCAAAAACTTCAAGATACTGCATATACGGGAGTCGCTTCACATTGGGAAGGTTGAGGTAGGATTCGTGGCTGGCGTGCAAATCGAAGAAACGACCGTATGCCTCTTCGCCCGAGAACATGCTTTCCACCAAAAATGGCTGATCGTCGCCCTGCTTCCGCGGCCGGTACCAGTTTTCCGAGTTCTCGGCTTGCTCATTTGGGTACCGCGAGTGATGTTCCTTGATACTGGCTACTTGTTTGTAGAATTCCTCGAAGGGGTCACCACTGCCAATCTGCAGGATTTCCTTGAAGCGCACTCCAGACTTGTCCTCGTATAGGGGAAGAAGCTCACGGGACTGGTGCTGAATCTGGTCGAGGAGTTGGGACACCTCATGATCACGATTAAGACGTTCATGAATCTACGGATGTGTCAGCATAGAGGGTCTTAGGAGAAACTTCGCGTGGAGGAAACATGCCTGTTTTGGCTCGTCGCGCAAACGGTCCGCGATACCCTGCTCGAGGCGTTCGAGATCCTCGTGAATGTATCTCTGCTCTTCTATCAACATGTTGACCAATGTGGCACCCGCAAATTGCCCTATTTGATCAGAAGTGAAGATGCGCGTAGAAGAGCCGAACTTGTCGTGTCGGGATGCAGAATTGCGAATGGGAAAACTAGGATGATTTCTAGAAGAGAGGTTGCTGAAACGTGCTTTTTCGGCGCCACCAATTGCTTCCGTGTACGAAGTCCAGAAGAACAGCAGGGAAACACGTCGCGGCAGGCAAAGAACTCTCCGGCAACTCCTTAGCGAAATCCACCAACTGCCCTGTCACAGATCCCCCGTCGTTCCATTAAATAAGGTTGGCCGACATTCTGCCGACCTGAGGGCTTGTCATCTTGGCAACTTTTTTTGACAACGGGAAAGCTCCACTCCAGTGCCGCCACACGTCGACATCGCATATCCATCGTCAATCACTGTCGCGCTTTCGGTACAGTGGGCTGTTTTTGTCTCGGGTGCAAAATAATTTCCAATAAGTCAACACTCCGGTCGAACTGCATCGTCAATATCCGCAACCACAACATCGCATCCTCGGTCCTGACACACCTCAGAAACATATCCAATTCATCGACAGAATCGCCCAACATGGCTGACGGCGGAATCGATCGCAAGGCCGATGAAAAGATTCAGTTCTCCACCTCCAAGGAGGTAACGGTTCATCCGACTTTCGAGTCGATGTCCTTGAAGGGTAGGTTTTGTCGCATCGCATATATTTCGTGGTTGCTGTAGCTCTGTTGATCGGACTGAAATTAACCGGTTCTTCAAACAGAGAGCCTCCTTCGCGGTATCTACGCCTACGGATATGAGTCCCCCTCTGCCGTCCAGTCCCGCGCCATCGTTCAGATCTGCAAGGGTCGCGATACCATCGCCCAGGCCCAGTCCGGTACCGGTAAAACAGCCACTTTCTCGATCTCTATGCTTCAGGTCATCGACACCGCCGTGCGCGAGACCCAGGCCCTCGTCCTTTCCCCGACCCGCGAACTTGCGACCCAGATTCAGAGCGTTGTGATGGCTTTGGGAGATTACATGAACGTTCAATGCCATGCTTGCATTGGTGGCACCAACGTCGGAGAGGATATTCGCAAGCTCGACTATGGTCAACACATTGTCTCTGGCACTCCTGGTCGTGTTGCCGACATGATTCGCCGCCGTCATCTCCGCACCAGACACATCAAGATGCTGGTTCTCGATGAAGCCGATGAGCTCCTCAACCAGGGTTTCCGCGAGCAGATCTACGATGTGTACCGCTATCTTCCGCCTGCCACACAAGTCGTTGTCGTCTCTGCCACCCTCCCTTATGATGTGCTCGACATGACCACCAAGTTCATGACCGACCCAGTTCGTATCCTGGTCAAGCGTGACGAGTTGACGCTCGAGGGTCTGAAGCAGTACTTCATTGCTGTGGAGAAGGAGGACTGGAAGTTTGATACTCTTTGCGATCTCTACGACACTCTAACTATTACACAAGCCGTTATTTTCTGCAACACCCGCCGGAAGGTCGACTGGTTGACCGACAAAATGCGCGAAGCCAACTTCACTGTCAGCAGCATGCACGGCGATATGCCTCAGAAGGAGAGAGACAGCATTATGCAGGATTTCAGACAGGGCAATAGCAGAGTGCTTATCTCGACCGATGTGTGGGCCCGCGGTATCGATGTTCAGCAGGTCAGCTTGGTTATCAACTATGATCTTCCCAGCAACCGTGAAAACTACATTCATCGGATCGGTCGTTCGGGTAGATTCGGTCGCAAGGGTGTTGCCATCAACTTCGTTACTAGCGAGGATGTCCGCATCTTGCGTGATATCGAGTGTAAGTGTTGGACAATCTAACCTCAGCGCCTTCTTTTGCTAACGGGAGATACAGTGTACTACTCGACCCAGATTGATGAGATGCCCATGAATGTTGCCGACCTTATCTCCTAAGAGGCTAGCGTGGGGTGTTTCAGGTGCACATTGGGTCAAAATGCAAAGGGGCAGGTCGCGTCCGTCATTGATTAGGTCACAAAGGGTGGCTTCAAGAGGACAGAATTCAAGTGGGAGGAAAGGGGCATGTCGGCCTTAAGGTACGGTAGCCTTCCACGATCCCGGCTCCTTGTATACATCTTGCTGACCATACGACAAGGACGCCTTACAGATTGGAAAACATATCTAGGTGTCAATGCTAGTATGCGAACGAGAAATTCACAAGACTTGGAAATATTCCAGGTGTCACTTGATCTCGAGATACTATGGCTATGAGATTTCAACAACGAAACTCTTTTCTGTCAGTCTAATACCTAGCATGCAATTCAGTAAAGCGATCACAACACGCTTAGCCTCTACCGGGGTTTATTTCGCATTGTGGAGTTGCATGACAGCCGTCTGACGTAGCACAAGTGAAACAATGGTCGCTACAATACAAGGCAACGCAGGGAATTGTACGCTAATCAGCCAACTGATACGGTAATTGACAAGACCGAAATATATCCGGCGATGTTGTCATCGCCCGCCGCAAGAGTGGGGACTTTGATGATTAAGTCCAACATCAACCCGACAATAAGTATGCTCATTTTCACCTCACAGGGCAGACAACACCTATCCAATTTTCTGAACAAATTCGCCAAACAAAAGAGTCAAAAATGCCGGAAACCGTGACAGACATGTTAAGCCGTAGAGTCAAGGTACGATTAGACATGCTGAAACTCCCCTCATCTCCAACCTCGTAAGCCTCATGAGGTTCGCTTAGCAACTCATTAACACCCACCAAGCTCTCCAATGGCCTCTCCATTCCCCAAATCCAACTCGGCCTCTACATGATGTCCGGCCCCGAGACCACACGCGCGGTCCGCTGGGCTCTCGGTGCCGGCTACCGCGGCTTCGACAGCGCCCAATGGTACTACAACGAACGCGAAGCCGGCCAAGCCATCCTCTCCTTTCTGTCCTCTCCCGAAAACACTGCGGGCCTCACCCGTGAAGACGTTCATTTCACCAGCAAGCTGCGCGACAACAGCACCAATTATGACGCCGTTCGTGCTTCGATCTCCAAGTCAGTGAAGGCTTCTGGACTTGGCTACATTGACCTGTTCCTCCTGCACAGCCCGCTCGGCGGTCGCGAAGCCCGGTTGACCAGCTGGAAAGCGGTCGAAGATGCGGTACTCGCGGGCGAGGTCAAGATGGCGGGCGTCTCGAACTACGGCGTCAAGCATCTTGACGAGGTCATGTCAGCACCTTTTAAAATCAAGCCTCTCGTGAATCAGATTGAGTGCCATCCGTTCAACACGCAGACGGAGATCAGGGCCGCGTGCGAGAAGTATGGTATTGTCATCGAGGCATACGCGCCGCTGGCGAGAGGGATGCGCATGAAGCATCCCGTTTTGACAGCGGTGGCAAAGAAGTACGGGGTTACGCCAGCGCAGGTGTTGGTTAGGTGGTCGGTGCAGAAAGGGTTCGTGACGCTGCCGAAAAGTACCAAGAAGGAGAGGTTGGTAGAGAATGCGAATGTGGGGGGTTTTGAGTTGGCCGAGGAGGATATGAAGAAACTGGATGGGTTGGATGAGAAGTTGGTTACTGATTGGTAAGATTTCCCCTCATTCAAATCCTCGAGTGGTGCGCTGACTTACTGACGCTTGGCGGTGCGTAGGGATCCTACTGATGCGGACTAGATGTTCTCGGTTCGTGCTTACACGTTCGCCCAAGTACCTTCGGATTTACCAGTTCTGGTGCCTCCATGTACTTGATGTTATGGTCTGATTTACAGATACGTAGACTTACTAAACCAGCGTATTTATTTCTTGTCCTCACAAACGGTACGCAAACACAAGATATACGCAATTTGTCCTTCCTTACCACATCAATATATTACACAAACCAGGCAACACCTTTAAGCTCCGTTATTCTGGCGGCACTGGTTCCTCCCCACACCATATCTTCTTGTCTTCTTACTTGAGGTGGTAATAAGACCCTGGTTCTATTCGAGAGCCGCAAGTTGATGGGGAGGTAGAGCACTGTCCACGGAAAATGGATTCCAGATCATAGGAACGGTCGTCCCTGGCCGTCCTTGGCCGTCATCATGTAAACCCGCCAAGCCCGACCTTCAATGCCGACATATTACCGTCAGGAGACTATGAGTTCCTTCTGGGAATTGATCCGAGTTGCAGAGGAGGCAATCCTGCATTTTCAACCTACATTCGGCACCGTTTACAGAGTTGGATGATGAGTGCAGACCTACCAGAGGCTACAGGTGTCCTTGTGATACATTGAAAAGCTTTCTACAGGAGCGGGGAAGATCATTGAACCATAGGCGGCTCAGGGTGAAAGAGGAAGGTGCTTCAATCTCTGGGTGGAATGAATGACAGTTTCACCTGCTTACGATGCCGTATATCACCCAAAGACGCACGGAGTACGGTTAATGTTACCTGAAAACCGAGTCCCGAAAATAAAGCCCTGTTCGACCAAGGTGATGACCGAGGTCTCGAACAAACCAGTGCTGGACTGTACTGTATCCACGTACAAGCTGGTCGGGAGAACTGGTGTGACAGCGTTCATCTCTTCCTCTGAACTTATCTTCTCCGACGTCGAGAATCATACCCACTAGCGACTGGAAAGGCAACCTAGTTGATCTCGAACGAAGAACTCAACGCGTGAAGAACGGTGAAAGGATTATTCGGTTGGTTATGATTATTCTCCACAGATTGGCTGGATCTAGTACGATTAAATCCTCATCCCTCTGGCCGACTGAGGTAGTTTCACCGTTCACGATGCAGTGAAACGTTGTAGAAACACATATGTCGGATTGAGTCACCCAAAGCTACGGTTGGATGTTTGCTGTGTGCTTGATGCAGTAGCGCTCTTTCAAAGCCTTGCCGCCATAACTGGGGCCCCGCAGACAAGATCGTCACCAACATAGCTTTTTCGATGCCCTATGTGCCACATCTTCCGAGATTCTGAGTCTTTGGATGCATTTGTCACGCACAGTGAGCCTTATTGGTATCAAACTCCATGTGGTGACATTCTCCCAGTTAATTAACCTCGAATATTCTTGGAGAGATGGTTCCCTCGTCTCTCTGTCTTCCCTTGATCAGCGCTAGTTTTGGACTTTGGACTTCTCTGGCTTGCGGTTAAGACTGGAGCTGGCGTGATCTCCCACATCTCCCAACGGATCACAATCACAAGTTCCAAACTCCAAAAGATTTCCACTTCCCCGCAATCCAGAAGCCAATCAGCCCTTAGAGCCCGGATAACGGTCTGGATGTCAGCGATCCCCCGAAGGGAACATGATATACCATTGGGTCGGTTGGCCTGGGGAACCACTAGGGGGAACCACGCACATGTTATCCCTGTCTTATTACTGCGTACACTAGTCTTTCCCCAGAATGCCGTGAGTGCCACCTGCAGGCCCGAGCCAGGTTCTCCTCACTTGTTAGATCAACAGCCAAGTCTCGCCCTTTTCTTGGTACCGAAGCTTTAAAGATATCAAGCAACTGTCAGAGTAAGCTAAGCTTCCCTTTGGCAAACCACTCCATCGACCAAGAGCGATGACATGACCTCCCCCATTTCACCAATATATTCCCCGGATTGGCATCGCGCGAAGACGAAAGGCAAGGTGACGGCTGCCAAGATGGAGAGGGCTACCAGATGAAGTAAAGTTGGAGGAGAATTCCTAGGGAAGAGGCTTACTTGGACAACGAGTGGACAAGACTGCCCGACGGCAAGAATTGTATCGGTGTCTCGATATCATTCCCGCCCTTCTGGGACATCTACCACAGTACGCCGCCGGCTGTTGTTCGGATTTCTCTCGATCGTTGATGTGGCTGGCAATGGGATCATGTCCGACCAGCCATGAGGAACGTGTTGGCATGCGGGGGTTTGCCTGCACATCCATGGTGGCTCACTCAGCTTGGTCAATCAAGATTCAACCATCTACTGTTGAACACTGCACTTCCGCTCTGGCGCTGAAGACGGGCTAGTCAACCGAAGAAAAAGGAGTCAACCCCTCTTTTTCCAAAAGCGTGGACACAACCAACACCGAAAACGAAAACGATGTGAGATGTATACATGCTGTACTTTGCGAATATATTAAAGCTGAGCCCTACCGGCAGGAACCCGACACAAGTTCAAATTGATGTCTTTCCCCTCTTCTTTTGGGTTCCCTTTCTTCACCTTCATCCACCTCGTTATTTTTACTCCAGGCCCGGCCCACAACTCTTGAATCATTGATCGGGCTTTAAACAAACCACGCATTGTTGTGGGAGTACATATTCCAGGTACCAACACCTCTGTCATACAAATATTCGTTCATCTACTCATCAACAAAGACGCAACCATGGAATCAACCCACGAGCCCGCCGACCCTGTCGCCAAGGGCATCCTCCCCACAGCCCGTCAGTCATGGAAGGACCTCTTCATCTGGAAGCAGCGCGTCGTCGTGACCAACGTGTACGGCGAGACTGCAACAGAATGGGCAAAACCCGTGCCTCTGAAGAACCCCATCAGCTTGCTCGCCCAGCTCTCAGGCCGTGACTGGATCTGCTTTACGGTCGGATTCTGCGCCTGGAGTGCCGATGCCTTTGACTTCCATGCCTTGTCCATCCAGCAGGTCAAGCTGGCGGCCTACTATGGAGTCAGCAAGACCAGTGTGTCGACGGCGATTACGTTGACGCTGCTGCTTCGGTCGATTGGTGCCGCTGCGTTTGGTCTGGCGGGTGATCGATGGGGGAGAAAGTGGCCGATGGTGGTCAACATGATTGTTTTGGGCATCTTGCAGATTGCTACCATCTACAGCTCGACATATTCGCAGTTCCTTGGTGTGAGAGCTTTGTTTGGATTGTTCATGGGTGGAGTGTAAGTTCCCCCCCCCCTTCGTCCTCAGTATCTCATTGTCAATAAGGTTGGTTATGCTGATAACCCCTAATCACAGGTACGGTAACGCCATTGCAATGGCCTTGGAGAACAGCCCGGTCGACGCCCGAGGTTTGATGTCAGGTATTCTCCAGCAAGGTTACGCCTTTGGTTATGTGTGCGCCGCGTGCGCCAATCTTGGGGTCGGTGGTGATACCGATAGCTGGAAGACCGTGTTTTGGATTGCTGCTGGTTTGTCCATTGGTGTTGGCATCATCCGCTGCTTCTTCCCCGAGTCCAAGCAGTTCCTTGAGGCACGCAAGGAAGGCAAGGCGCACGCCAACCCGTCCCAGTTCTGGAGGGAAACTAAGGTGATGCTTCGCCAAGAGTGGAAGATGTGTGTCTACTGCTGCATTTTGATGACTTGGTTCAACTGTAAGTCTCGCCCCCAAGGTTCTTTGCAGCCAGCCATCGACGGAGCCACTCTGACTATCCTCACCACAAACAGACTACAGCCACACCTCCCAGGACAATTACACCACCTTCGTACTTAGAGCGAAGGAACTGGATAACTCGGGCGCCAGCCGTGCCAGTATCATCATGAAGGCCGGCGCTTGTGTGGGCGGTACCATCATTGGCTACCTCAGCCAATACTTTGGCCGCCGGCGGACCATCATTGTTTCCTCGCTCATCAGCGGCTGTCTGATCCCCGCATGGATCCTTCCCAATTCCGAGCGCGCGCTGTCCGCCACCGGCTTCTTCATGCAATTCTTCGTCCAAGGAGCTTGGGGGGTCATCCCAATCCACCTGAACGAGCTTGCGCCGCCCGCATTCCGCTCCTCGTTTCCCGGAATCACGTACCAGGTCGGCAACATGGTGTCGTCCCCGTCCGCACAGATTGTTAATGCCGTGTCGGAGAAGATCCACATCATCAGCCATACCGGAAAGCTGGTCGAGGCCTATGGCCCGACTATGGGCACTGCTACTGCGATTATTGTGATGGGCATCGTGGTCACCACGGCATTTGGGCCCGAGAAGAGGGGTAGAGAGTTTGAGAAGGCACTGCCGGCGGGTATGAACCTCCAAAAGCAGCATGGTAAGCAGTTGGACGATTTGGAGACGGGTCATATGGAGATGGTGGCGAGTGAGTTGGATGATGAGAAGAGGGAGGGACGGGCAGTTCAGTAGATGGAGAATACTGCTGCCCCTGCCAAACAATGAGCGTCGGGTGGCTTTCACAACACTTGGAATCCATGGTGATGTTCCGGGGCATGACGACTTCGTGTGCATGTCCATTCGAGATAATGATCTCTTTACTTGGTACAACCCGTCCTATACAAGTATTATATGGACTTCTCGTGTCCTTATGCTCAGCTGAGGTCTTCTGAGTTCATAGACTTGAAAAAAAAAAAAAAAGGGTGTTTCAAAAGACTTAAAGGCTTCTAGGGTCACGTAGCATCTGGTAACTTGTGTATATAAGCCGGATCATCCTCCTACGTCAGCACTGTTCAGAGAAGACTTATACCATTAGATTTTGTGAATCACTAGTGTACAATACCCTCGTCTAGCCATATTTTACTGACGAAAACATCTTCCTCGATGTATTTGCTTGAATAACGCCGAGTGGATTCTTGAGTTGATTGTATCATTCATCGAGGTTTCTGTTCGTGCACGAGCCATCAAAGCATTATGGTTTGATGGCTCGTGCTCAAGCCCCTGAATATCTACAGCCTAACAGCCAACATCTCCCCCCCCCCCCTTCTTTCGTCACTCACTTCACAAGTCAACCTTAACAGCAACCACACTACTCGATACAAATCCCGTAACGAACAACCAGGCCTTTCTCTTCCCTCTTTCTTTCTCCGGGTCAATAGCCACCAAAACCGCCGCGCTCGCGCTCCTAATCCTGGTCCCGTCATCCTCAAACAACAGCCTCTTCTCCCAAATCACATTCCCGTTCTCTTCCTGCTTGACCGGCTTCGCGAACCACACCATGACCGGATCTTTGGCCTCCGGCTGCTTGCGCGTCTGCGCCAGCGTATGTGCCTTGCCTAAACCGGCTACGACAAACCCGCTGTGGTCGACGCCGTCCGCCGTGCCGGCGTAGGGATCGGAAAAGTACGAGGGATTGTCGATGGTGGAGCCAAACTCGATCCGGTTGAGCACAGTGATCATGCTCGACTTTGATAAAGGCGACGATGGTAGCTCGCTGATGCTCAGCACTCCGGAAGCGGCGCTGGCGATGGCTACCTCGTTCTCGTACCGGCCGTGGCCTAGGCCGTTGGCGTTGTGGAACTTGTCCAGTGCCACGTGGGCGGTGACGCCGGCCACAGCGTCTGTTTCGGCGGGAGTGGAGGGGGCTTCAAGGGAGAACTGCAAGTGGATGACGTCGGTCCATTCAGCTTTGGCGTACATATCTTCCATGAAGCGCATGGGGCCGTGGTCCCGGTAAAGGTGGTCGTTGGTCACATAGAGGGATGTGGGGGATGTGGCAACAAGATCGTTGGGAGTGCGAATCAGAGGATGCCAGATGGAGCGAAGGTGAGTGGCGGTGGTGGTCCCGATGACATGGTGGAAAAGCTCGATTTGAGACCGCGCTTTGGGGACGTCTGCCGGTGGAGGCTGGATGGCTATGACGTGCGCAGGGTTAGGAAGGTGGTTGACGGCGTAGATGTATACGGCATTCGGTTGCTCGGGGTTGGTGAGAACCTCGATCCCGTGGGTGATGAAAGGTCCGTCGAAGTTGTCCACGGTAAGGCGCTGGGATTTCTTGGTCTGCGGAAGGTGTAAGCGACTCCATTATGCATACGACTGCCGGCACAGGGTATTTTTTTGACTTACTTCGGGGTCAATCACATGCAGAGAACCATGGTAGGTCTTAAGGATTGACGAATCGTTGAAATTGGTCAAGGGGGGAAACCACTGAAAGCGAGTCTCGGGATAGTCCTCGCAAGCCGTAAAGAGGGTCTTGCTGGGGGCATGATAGTGAAGGTCTTCACAGTGAACAGTGTCGGGAATGTACTGAATGTCCTCTGCTTGAACAAAAGTACTCATGGGATTGGTGCGAAGGAAGCCGAAGACGATGGCATTGTGGTATATAAATGTTCCCCAGGAGTAGATCGCATAAGCCAACAAAGCGACGGTAACAGATGGGCCCAGTAACTTCATGATGGGCAAGAGTTTGGGTCGAGTTCAAGAGAGGCCAGGATGGGATCGATGCACACGATTATATACCCGAGCTTTATACGCCGTCTTGGCCCCTATGCGTAACTGCTACCATTGCAGTTCATTCCCCTTCTTGTCGACCGGTTCTTTGTGGCTGCGGGGTAGCTGCCTCTACCTACGAAAGCGTATGTAACAAGTCGACACCATTTACGCAATAGCGCAACGGCTATACAATTAGCTGTCACGCCCCATGTTAGCGGGCTTTCGTACGCGGGGTCGGATATGAAGATCTTGTGGTTGAAGATCTGGGGTGCCAAGTCCATCGGGTAGGACAACCTCCGCCTCTGGTTCCTAAAATCCTCCGGACTTTCGTCAAACCAGCGCAACCACAGAAACCAAACACGAAATCATCATTTTGGTTGTAAGATACCGCACTTCTTCTATAGTCCATCGAAAACCTCAATAGGGATTCACGTTCGGCGCTGCCATCGGGGAGAGTGTCATTCTGGAGGGATCGACGACAGAACTGACCAGACGTTGAACGTGACAAGGTCCTCTTCTTGAGCCTCAAGCTTCAACGAATGAACGTCCAAGAAGGCGTCAGCTGAAAAAGGGGGCTGAAGGTCAGCAAAGCAAAGCCAGGGGTACAAACTGGGGCCATTCAGGAACCGGAAATTTGACGCCCCGAATATTGAAGATGATGGATGGTTGAGGTGAGTTGGGTCCATCTTGCCAAAATTCATGTTGCATGTTTGAAAACGCTAGCTCGGTTCTTGCGGGTGTCAAAAAGAACCTGACTTGATTTCTGCACAGGAAATAGCTCTCCTGTCGTCTGTCTACTTCCTGTTTCTTGTATAGTCGTCGTATCAAGCTAACCTTTTATATCCATGCAGAGGTCTTGTGTTGGACATGATGAACTTCATTTTAGATCCCTGCTTTGAGATTCCTGTCAGCAAGTGCTTGAAATGTACATTATCACTGCTTAGCCAGATCTCTTTCAAGAAGGAAGAACTCGAAGAATGCGAGATCTACTGTCACGGTTTCAGGCGTGCAATGCCAGACTCGGAACATCAACATTGCTAAGGATGGACACGGTATCTCAAACATTTACAATGATGAAGTGTGATTCACGCACGCAGGCTTTCGCAGGGAAGACGCTTTCAGAGCGTGCTTGCGTTGTGAAACCAACACATGACTGCACTTGTGAGAGAAAATGAGACAATAAGCCGGGAAGAAACTGTGCAGCATATGTCTGTGTCCGAGAACAAGGTCATGTGTATCTGCCATTGACCCAAAAGGTCATCAGTCTCCAAAACCGCACACCATACCTCAAACGCCTTTTCCGTCGTAATGCAACCCATTGCGCCTGACCGTTTGAATCAAAGCAGAAGCCCAACGCCCTCATGTCCGTTTTGTTGATCCACCCACAGAAAAGCAGTAGACCTACTCCTCAGGTCCAGGCCTGCCATCGAGCCACTTGGACATGTAAGGCCCATCGAGCCAATACCCGAGTTTCCTGTAGTAGCTACGCACACCGACACCAGAAATAACGCTGATCTTCACACTTCCGTGCTCGTCTCTGGCAATCCTCTCGGCCTCCTCCATGAGGAGCGTACCGAAACCTTGATGCTGGAATTTCCTCGGGTCTCTGACGTGCAAAGGTACAGCCATGCCGTAAACGTGCAACTCGCGGACCAGACTGGTGGGCTGCCCAACCAACTCCTCACGGAACGTGTATTTTTCCGAACACTTGCGCAGGCGGAGCAGACCGACCAAGATGTCCTGCTTGGGGTCCTCGTAGGCCAGGAAAGTCTCCCAGCCGCCGTTGGCGGTGTAGTCGCGACGGACGAGCTCGATCTGATTCGGCCTGATCTTGTTCTTGACCTCGTTAACACCAACTTCACGGGTGCGCACATCGCGGCAGGTGGTTCCAAAGTCCTTCATACGCGCCAAAGCCAGCTCACGCAGATTACCGTTCTCGACACCGGACGTCACCAACGGCATGGGGATATCACGCTGGACGCGGTAGATGCGAGTCCAAGGGGGGACGAGGGCCATTATCCTTGCCACGAGGTCGATCAATCCGTTGGGCGTGTAGTTTTGATACCTGCCTGTCCTCCACAACTCGTAAAGGCCCGTTCCACGGATGACAAGGGTAGGATAGATCTTGAGACCGTCGGTACGAAAAGCTGGGTTCTCAAAGTACTCCCGGAACTGGTCAAGATCTCTCTCCATGCCGACGTTCGGAAGGTCAGGCATCATGTGGCTGACCACCTTGAAACCGGCATCCTTGGCGAGGCAAAAGGTCTCGGCGACGGCAGCAACGGTGTGACCACGGTTGGTATCGCGGGCAACATCTTCGTAAAGGGATTGAACACCAATTTCGAGACGGGTGCAGCCGTAGCGCAGCATGCTCGAAAGATGGGGCTGAAGGCAGTAATCCGGTCTAGTCTCTATCGTGATACCCACGCACTTGATGTTGCTCTGTTCTCCCGATCTCACAGCCTCGTCCACGTTCAAGGTTCCGTAACCGCTCAGGGCGTTGTGTAGCTGGGAAATAAACTCGTCTCTGTATGATTCAGGGAGCGACATGAAAGTGCCGCCCATGATGATGTATTCGACCTTGTCGACCGAGTGGCCCAATGACTTTAGCTGATCAACTCGTCCTCTCGCCTGCTCGAAGGGGTCATAACGAGCCCGGATGGCTCTCATCGATGTCGGCTCATATCCCGTGTATGACTGTGTGCTGTATTCGAAGTCGGAGTCTGGACCACCGGGGCAGTAGACGCAAATATTGCCGGTATACGCAATATGGGGGCATCGATGGGGCTTGCACATGACAGCCACTACAGCGATACCCGACGAGGTTCTGATGGGCTTGGCGATGAGTCTGGGCAAGATGTACTTCTTGTAATGTTCGGGGACAGCGGCGATGATAGCGGTTAGTGGGGGAACGTTGTTGATTTTGTGTTTCTTCGCAAACTTGGATCGAAGGCTGTTGAGATTAATGTCCTTTTGCGGACGGCCGTTTTGAGCGGCTTCATGATCTTCGATGAGGGCGTTCGCGATGTCGGCGCAACATCTCAAGAACCTGTCGTTTTCGGACGGCAAATTGGCATTCTTCTTGCTGCGAGTTACTGTGACCGTTGTTGTCGCCATGTTTGCGCTGTGTTGGACTGGCGAACCTCGTATCTCGTTGTTGACGATTTCGGTGTTGGCGTTGAATCAATTATTTGAACCTTTTGCGGGGCAAATGTCGGGACGCTTCAGTTGTCGTTGAAGGTGCCGTACCGCTTACGCCTGCCGTGGCTGTAACAGATGTGCCAGCCTCAAGTTGCATGGGTGCTTCAAGTCCACCCACTGAAGTGTCATGCATCGGCGGTCATGCATGTGCGTGCACCGACAAGAACCAAGTGACCTCGGCGTAAAATGCGGCTGAACTAGATCTCCAGCCACCCGTTGCCGAGCTGCGAGTCCCCTGTCTATAGAGTAGATGTGGCTTGTAACTTGGCGCGGTTTGATAATCTAGCCCCGAGAATCCGCCGGTACCCTGGCAAGCTCGGCGAGACAGGCAGGTACGCTTGATACCGATCGGTACTTTGTGACGTACACTACAGCTGGAGCTGGCTTGGTCAGGTACCCACCAAGCCATCTGGGTCAAGTTTCTCACGTTAGGAGAGCGGCGGGGTTGGGTGTAGTTACACGCAGCGGTCTTGGAAAAGCGTTAGCGCGGTGTACCTAGCTGATAACAAGACCCTCATGAGCTTGAATCACATTGCCGCAGACCCTGCCGTGGGCGGTGGGCGGTGGGTGTTTTGTGGGTCGGCGACAGGAGCTGTGGCTCGCGAGCGGATCCTGTCATAGTGCGGCCCGATGTGAGAGCACCTAGTTGGAGATATTTTTCGAGGAGAGAGGGTTCTGTTGGCTGGCGGGGAGTTGGAGAAGCTCGAGCCGTCGACGTCCTGAATTTCTACGTGCGATCCCGTGCAAAACTGGAAACGAACAACAAAACCCCCCCTCAACGACATCATCGGCTCCATTGTTGGCTCTCTCGCCCATAATACTGCCCTCTCCCTCCTCTTTCCTCCGGCGCCCTCCTCATTTCCACACTATTCTTGCATTCTTGCCCACAGAATTCACAATGCAGGCTATCGCAAGGCAAACACGGCCCGCGGGCAAGCTCGTCCAGCAGCTGTCCAAGAGAGCCTACAGCTCCAACTCGTCCCCCTATGCGGCGACCATCAACAACCTGAAAATCAACGGCGACACCAAGGTTCTCTTCCAGGGATTCACGGGCAAGCAGGGAACGTGAGTTAGAGCTGCCTCCCCTGCCCGAAATTCCCCATTCCCCGTTTTCCCCATTGCGCCCTGCTTGTCGTGACTCGCGACGCCGATGACACGACTCGGGCGCATCTGGGGAATGCTCCACCTCCGCCAACTGCCCATGATCACAAGCTTTCCAAGACCAGGACACCATTGGATGTGATTAATGCTGCGAATTTGACTTGGCTGACGATGGCTCATTGTACAGTTTCCACGCCCAGCAGGCCATCGAATATGGTAAACCACCACCCTCAACCACCTACCACTGCCACCATTCCCTTCGCTTATCTCCCGCTTATCGGTACCGATCTTGGGTCGCAAACTGTCGCAAACATGGAATTCTGACGCATTTCGCCCTCTGTTCTAGGCACCAATGTTGTTGGCGGCACCAACCCCAAGAAGGCTGGCCAAACACATCTTGATCGCCCTGTCTTCTCCAATGTGAGCGAGGCCGTCAAGGAGACCGGTGCTACTGCCACCGCCATCTTCGTCCCGTAAGCACTCTCTCTGCAATACCAGCCTTTGAGGGCCTTACTAATAGTAACATCGAAAATAGCCCCCCTCTCGCCGCTGCCGGTATCGAGGAGGCCCTCCAGGCCGAGATCCCCCTCGCCGTGTGCATTACCGAAGGCATTCCCCAGCATGGTCAGTACAATGGCTCGCAAGGACGGCGCGCAAGCGGAGAAAAGCGAATTTTGGAAACCAGTGATCTAACCGGGCGTTGCAGACATGGTTCGAATCACCTCTATGCTCAAGACTCAGTCCAAGACCCGTCTCGTCGGTCCCAACTGCCCTGGCATCATCGCCCCCGGTCAGTGCAAGATCGGCATCATGCCCGGTTTCATCCACAAGCGCGGCCGTATCGGTATCGTCAGCAGATCCGGCACCCTTACTTACGAGGCCGTCAACCAGACCACCCAGGCCGGCCTTGGTCAATCTCTCGTCGTCGGTATCGGCGGTGACCCCTTCAGCGGCACCAACTTCATCGACTGCCTCAAGGTCTTCCTCGAGGACGGTGATACCGATGGTATCATCATGATCGGTGAGATCGGTGGTTCCGCCGAGGAGGAGGCTGCCGACTTCCTCAAGGAGTACAACACCAAGAACGGCGGCAAGCCCGTCGTCTCCTTCATTGCCGGTATCTCCGCTCCCCCCGGCCGTCGCATGGGTCACGCCGGTGCCATCGTCGCTGGCGGCAAGGGTGGTGCCGACTCCAAGATCAAGGCCCTCGAGGCCGCCGGTGTTGTTGTCGAGCGCTCGCCCGCCAGCCTCGGTAAGGCTCTCCGTGATGAGTTCGTCAGACGCGATTTGCTTTAAGAAAAGTTTGAAGGGGTTCAATTTTTAATCTTTCGAACGTTTTCTTTTGTCTTCTCTGAGGCGGACATATGAATAGTCGCAGCAGCCAGCCAGCCAACCAAACAACCAAAACATCTTGTCCATGTCTCCTCTGTCTCTGCGCACGGGTAGTCTTGTTCTTCTGGTTCGGCTTATCTGCCGACCTGGTCGGGGCCGAAGGCACAGTCAGAAGGAAGCAGGGAACGTGGAGCGTATTGCATTTGTGACTGTGTGTCTTGGAATGACAATTGAAGCTTGATAGAGACATTTGGCCATTGCTACTGGGAATGGGGATTGGGCGTATACCGTGTGGTGCATTTATATCCCTTTCCGCATCTTGCGATATTCTTGTTGATAGAGGTGAAACCAAGGAATGGGTGTGGGCGGTTAGGTATATTATACTTTCCATTTATTCACAACGTCACATTCACATGACTTACCGGCCTGTCTTCACCTACCAGCTTGAATGCGTCATACACTTTGTATAGATACGCTATCACTTTGCTAGCTTCCATGTAAAGGAGGACGGAAACTCCGAATACCGGTAAAGTGAAGAATCAGTAGTAGAAAGAAGCCAGAAATTCCATTGCTCCATTGACACCCTTGTCGTCCGTAAAACTCCATATCCGAATGCGGCTGATGTATAGACTAATAACAGACGAAGCCGCGCCAACCTACCACCGATTAATCCAGTCGAACGTCGGCCTCAGCTACTGCGGTTCCCATCCTTCGCTTTACCTGTCCGCTTTTAAAGTCCAGACCATTCTGGTTTCCATAATGCTGATTGGTAAAATCATACCACCTCCTCATCACCATACATAGCCGTGTTTGTTGCTCTCATTGCCCGCCCTCACTCTCTGAATGTTACTGCTCGCCGAGGAGGCGCGCGGTGATATCGCCCATGTATGCTTCCTCGAGTTCGTAATCGGCGCCTCCGTTCCGGTCAATACCCACAAAGATAAAAGCATCGACCACCTTTTCTACGTCGAATCCCATGTTGACAAAACGATCCACCAGGTCCTTGTTATATCCAGCATATCTGTGTTGGGTTCGCCAAGCAGGCTCTAAGGTTAGTCGCCTCTGACTTTTATTCCGGGTTTCCAGTAATGTTGTGTCCATATGGCTTTTGCTTAACTCAAGGTGGTTCACTGCATCGGAATAGTCAGAAATGCCACATACCTGCTAGCATCGTTCCTTGAACCTTCCTTTGCGGTCTCGTCATACTTGAGAGGAATCGAGTCCACCCTGGGCGCGCCGGCATACTTGACGGCCCAGTCGTGTGCCGTTCGGGCGAACAGCTTGGGGTTTTCCATCAACATCTTGGCCACCTGGGCGTCCTGGGGATCCTTCGGGTTTGGCGATTCAAGAAGCATTCGTACGGCAAGCAGCGCTGTCTTGATCGTACCGACCGGGGACCATGCTGTTCCAAGAATGTCGAGACAGATGGCGCCCTGTGAAGATGTCGGAGGGTTAGTTCAGCTCTCCAAACTCCACCTACTTCCTAACATCAATCATAAACCACGGGGACATAAACGAGAGAAACGTACAGTGACGCTGCTGACGTTGGGGTGCCAGATCTTGGTAATAAGATACATCGAGGGCGGCTTAAACGGGTACTTGTCCGGAATCTGAATGTCGACCTCGTATGTACCCCCGGCATAGGGCGAGTCCGGGGGGCCGCTGAAGGAGCCCTTGAGGTGCGACAGATTGCTCGAGTCGAGAGGTTCGGCCATGACGCCCGAGGTCTCGCGGTCATTCCATATATCCTGCAATTCCTTCGCAACGCGGCGCTCACGAGTAGTCGCCATGGTCAAGTGATGGGGTGTTGGTGCAGAGGAAGGAATATGTATTGCGCCCAAATGGGAGTGGGTACAGTATATGGTTTGCTGTTGGACGCAAATAAGATCGTAGGAAGTGGTGTTCAGCGAAACAACTGAAGTATAACAACGGAGTACTGATAAGATAAACCTTGTGGAGGGGTCAAGGAGGCCTGTGGAATGATGTTGCAAGGTGAGAGGGTTTCTACTAAGTGATGGAGGAGCTGGTAGTGGAACGAAGGACAGGACAGTTTAAGTTTCCATCCGCAACTGATCGAGGATTCGCAAACCGGGCCTGCTTAGGTACCGTAGGTTATTTGCGAATGCAAGGCTGAAAGAACATTCGCTGACAAGGTGAGATTGTGGTCGTCACTTCCTGTGGAGGGAAAGGAAAGCAAGAAGGCAACTTTCAAGAGTCGACGGGAGGTGGGCAAGTGGGGAGCGGCGTCCGTAAAGGTACGCAAGAGTGCCAAGAGTCAAATGCTCACATAAATTGGCGAGCGCGGTGTTCCTACCTCTACTGTGTTGAAGAAGCGGCAATGGAACGAGCTTGGTGCTATGGTAACGTTTAATCGCCTCAACCACACACTGCTTCATTTCTCAGTATACGGGTAAGGTTGAGGATGAATGACCACTGTCGCCTTCGAATGTACACAAAGTTGCGACGGGATAGGATGGAAGCAGGAAGCTCTGGCTGGACTCGAGTCGTCCTTGGAATAGGTGTGCCGTGGTCCCCTCCCTTGCCAATGTCGTGGCCATGCGCTGTATGTATGGGAAAACAGTCCGTCATACGGTACAGGTTACAAACTTAAAGCTGTGCAGCTTGTCCAGGTACTTATGGTCAGTAGACAGATCGAATGCAAACGCACAGCAAGTGCTAGGAGCGCTCAAACGGCATGCAAGGTGCTATTGCCCCCGGCAGCTTAGTAGCCTTGATGGTCTGTGCGTCAGGTGTACGACTGGACGACAGACGGATGAGGTGTGTCGCGTTCACTGGGGGCCTGAACTGGAGCTCGCCATCCCGTCGCAACTGAACCTCAAACGGGCATCCGCCAACAACGAACACCAGGACAATCATTTCCATCACTGCCGCCCAAGTCAACGAGTTCAGATCGTGCGGTACTTTTACGACCCCATCATATAATTCTCAGCACCCCTTTGAGCCTTCCACCACACTTTCAAGAATTGCGAAAGGCGGACCGTCAACATGGTCAGTTGCCGCAATACGGAGCTGAGCTCAAGCTTGCAATGCATCGCATACTGACAAGCTGCGCAGGGTCAAAATCAGTCTGGCATGGGCGGAGGCCAGGACCCTTCAAAGTCCAAGAAAGATAAGGTAGGATGGCTTCAGTTGCGTCAAGGTTTCTGTTGTGCGCGGCATGTTTGCTGTCCTGTGAGACTCAGGCGCTGACATCATGGACATCGCTAACCACCATTGCCACCAAAACAGAAAGATAAGCCCAAGTACGAGCCGCCGCCGAAGCCTACCACCCGCATCGGTCGCAAGAAGAAGAGACAAGGCGGTGCCAGCGCTGCCGCCAAGCTCCCCTCAGTGTATCCGACAAGTCGATGCAAACTCCGACTCCTACGAATGCAACGAATCCACGATCATCTGCTGCTCGAGGAGGAATATGTCGAAAACCAAGAACGTCTACGCAAGGCGAAGACCGCGAAGGACAGCAACGTTCCTGCGTCCGAGCTCGAGTCTTCCGACCGCATGGCTGACGAGCGCTCCCGTGTCGATGACATGCGTGGCAGCCCCATGGGTGTCGGTGTTCTCGAGGAGTTGATCGACGATGACCACGCCATCGTTTCTAGCACATCGGGGCCCGAGTACTACGTTAGCATCATGAGCTTCGTCGACAAAGACCTTCTGGAGCCCGGCGCCAGCGTTCTGCTACATCACAAGAGTGTCAGCATTGTTGGCGTGCTCACCGACGACACGGATCCGGCCGTCAACGTCATGAAGCTTGACAAGGCGCCCACGGAGTCGTACGCGGATATTGGTGGCTTGGAACAGCAGATCCAGGAAGTTCGTGAATCAGTTGAGCTTCCATTGCTGCATCCGGAGCTCTACGAAGAAATGGGTATCAAGCCACCCAAGGGTGTCATTCTCTACGGTGCTCCCGGTACCGGTAAGACCCTCCTTGCCAAGGCTGTGGCAAACCAAACTTCGGCAACGTTCTTGCGTATCGTTGGTAGCGAGCTTATCCAAAAGTATCTTGGTGATGGTCCTCGACTGGTCCGCCAGCTTTTCCAGGTATGTAAAAGTGTCTCAAGCTACACTGTCAAGTATATACTCTAACATGTTCCTTAGGTTGCTGCCGAGAATGCCCCTTCCATCGTGTTCATCGACGAAATCGATGCCATCGGTACCAAGCGTTACGACTCGACATCGGGCGGCGAACGTGAAATCCAGAGAACCATGTTGGAGCTGCTGAACCAGCTGGATGGTTTCGACGATCGTGGAGACGTCAAGGTCATCATGGCCACCAACAAGATCGAGTCGCTTGACCCTGCTTTAATCCGTCCTGGCCGTATCGACCGCAAGATTCTCTTCGAGAATCCCGACCAGAACACCAAGCGCAAGATCTTCACGCTCCACACCAGCAAGATGTCACTTAACGAGGATGTTGACCTGGAAGAGTTCATCGCCCAGAAGGACGATCTCTCAGGTGCCGACATCAAGGCTATCTGCTCTGAGGCCGGTCTCATGGCCCTCCGTGAGCGCAGAATGCGGGTGCAGATGGCTGACTTCAGAGCTGCTCGTGAAAGAGTTCTGCGCACCAAGCAGGAAGGCGAGCCCGAGGGCTTGTACTTGTAACATAACCGCATATTATCTGGCCTAATTTGCAAGACGTTTCAGATTTGGGCGGATTGCGACCGGGAATGGATTTGACAATTCAGCCTTGTGATGTCAATATCCAGCCATCACTAAGCGTACCTTAGTTTGAGTGAAGATGAAGGGATACCGTAGCGTTTTATCATGGACAAAGAAGAAACATTACGGTTGGCATCTGTAAGGGTATGTTTTTCACGCCTCAAATTGTTGGTTTGTTGATACATTCATTGTGAAGTCCAGCTTCATGTCAGTTGTATTCACGCAAAACGTGAAGCCTACCACCGCCTCTCATCCTACTCATGTAAGCTTGACGCTGCACCTCCTACGCATGCTTATCCTCCCATTGTCAACAGGCGGCATCTAATCTATCCTTCTGCGTGTATCCTTCTCTCTATCTCTATACATTTAACCACACTTTACTCTCCTGCTTGAACCATCATGGTCCCCATCACATTTCTTCCTCCCCTGCTGATCAGCTGCACTCAAAGCCTCCACCAAGCCCATTACCCCCTCCGACCAAACCTTTTTACCATCCTTCGTATCTCGCCCTCGTTCCGGCCAAGGCACACCCCTTTTCAGAATCCCCTTCACCGTGATCCCCTTCCTCCCATAAAACTCCTCATTCGCATCCCCCTCGGCACCACCACCACCGTCCCATCCATCGACTCTCCTGCATACAACCCCATGCTCCTGATATAACTGCACACCAACGGTGTACTATCACCATCACCTTCTCTTCCCCTTTGTCTGAAAAAGAAGAAGAGCGACCAGAATCACCAAGCACATCCTCTATTCCCGCCCCAGTTCCCATCGGCCCAGCAACAATCCCTATATTCCCACTAAGACTTACATGGGGGGGCTCAGCGAAAGCGCGCACGGCCGAGGGGGTGCGTGAAACGCAGACGCAGTCAAAGATGTGGATGCCAGCGAGGAAGCCGGGGCCTAGGGAGTGGATTTGGAATCCGGAGGGCGGGGACCATTTTCGAGATTGGGGTTGGGAGCCGATTTGGGCGAGAGATGACGATGCCGGATCCAGAAGAGCCGATGAGATGGAGACCGGTGCGGGAAGGCGGTGAAAATTGCTAGGCCGGACTAGGTAGATAGGACGCGAGGGGGGAATATGGATGAAGGAGGTACGAGAGGAGCCCTGATTAATGCAAAAAGATTGAATAATCCTAGTTGTCACATTGCTGATCCATTGTCGAAGGCTACTAGAATGCTTCGGAATCGAGTGCGTTGGTCATTTTATTGGTGGGCGTTCCAGCTTTGACGCTTAGTTGATACAATAGTTCACTTGGTGTTCGCTTGTCTTTGTTGTTGTTGCGACGGCTGCGTCGTTGCTTGATGAGGGCTGTGGCAAGTGTTCACCTCGACGATGCCGTCGCCTTCTGCGATGGCTCAAATTTCCAGAGTTACTAACTATTTCTATAGATTTTGGCTGTCTCCTGGTAGTAGTCGGAATTGGTACCGCCCAATGCGAGTATGCGAACCCAATCTGTTTGCGAGGACAATTGCACACAAATTGTTTTCCGGAATTTTATGGAAATGCAATCTATGGGATCTTGAAACCCAAAAGCGAGTTCTCACTTGGACGAAGCGAATATCCACGATACAGAAAACACAGATACTTGCGCCATCTTGTCCGTCGAAGTAAGCATACCACACACGTTGTAGAACTAGGCTCCAGAATGTCACGACCATAGTGTACAAATACGAACGATCAAAGGTGCCTTGAACGGCCACTCCCTGCAGCGCTGTAAATTGAACATCATCTTTGAGAAGGCAGTCAGTCTTGAGAATATTACTGTACCTTCACCAAGAAATCTGTGACACCAGTCGACCACCAGTCGTTCCTCACAACTTCAAAGTTGTGCAGCTCAGCACCTCACCATCATCACCAGACATCGCGGGGCAGCTGAGTGCACTGATGTCATCGCAAGCCCTACGGTTACCGGCTCCACACTGTTCGGGACTTCGGTGTAGGACTCAAATTCGCACCAACGGCTCGTGATGGGTTTCATTTTTTGGGACCTCGAAAGCCCATTCGAGGTCATTGCTCATGAGTCGCTCTTCAACATAGACAAGACAGCTCTGCTTGGCCAAACAGACCGCAAAAGGGGAAGAAGGCAAGGATGATGTTAGGAACCTTACAAAAAAGAAGATCAACAAAAGGATTTGGGACCTGGGAGGCTCGAACTCCCGACCTCAGGATTACTCTGGTTTTATAACCAGATCATATAGGTATATGAGACCTGCGCGCTAGCCAACTGCGCCAAGGTCCCAGTATGAGTTATGAAAGGGAGTCGGAATTTGTGCTTTATATTGTCTGCGAGGCATGCCTCCTCGGGAACACGATGCTTTTTAAAAGTCAACATTGCTTGATGTTTAATATTTGCGAGCAGTTGGTCGGGCCAACGAAGAAATAGAGCTCTCTGTTGACAAGAGAGAAAGCAGGTAGGAAGATAGCAGAAAAGCAGGAAAGAGAAGCAACGGGGAATGGATATAAAGATGGAGAACATAATCTAATAAGTGTTAATGCGGATGTCAATCACTTGTACACATAGACAATGGTCCCAGCATACTTTTTACCCAGCTCGATTGGCGAGAGACTCGAGTCTGGTTGAAACTTAACGTAAACCCGTCTGCTGTGTAATTGCGTGATGTGCGAAAGACATCGTGAGATCCTGAAAAGGAAAGAGGCGGAACATCCTTGAGCAAGATTGGCAATGCTATTTTAGAAAAGTGATGTTCAACACAAAACTATAAAGAAATGACAGACTTAGAACATGTCAAGAGGTTTAAGCGCCGGATCATATGGGCTGCTATAGACGGTTTATAGTGAAGAAGATTAATGAAGTTTATGGCCTTCTTGTCGAGGTGAAGTACGCCACCCCCGAACTGGAACAGGAACATGTACAACTTCACAAGCTTGTTTCATTCATGATATGCGATGCGCAAATGCGAGTTAGGACGTGTGGACTAGGTAACTTGCACATGGCGACTATGCCCAAGACCCCAAAGTCATAAGTACACCATGAGATGATCACGATGTTTGTCATTGTATGGTAAATACAGTAAGGTTTGGGATGTCGTGCGGACAAGCATTCAATCAGTTATTGGCCAGGGGACTTGGAAAGGTATTAACGGCCACTACAGGACCGTTTGTCTCTGACCAGCTCGCGATGTCAGGTGTGATGCTTCACTAGATAATTAGCCTGAGGTTGTGATAAAGTCGTCGGCTCGAGGCGTTATCCATGCTTGGAAATAAATGTGATACTGTAGCACAACGCTATGATATCAAAGGGTTCGTTCGAAGACTTTAGCATTATTTGGCTTAAGTACGCAGTAGTCATTCATTGGCTTGCTTCAGCATGTTCGGGCTTGTGGACGGGGTGCCGCTGGACAGCATGGTCGTCATCTACGAGACGCAAGGGTCCCTTTCTGTCATGAGAACACGCCTGGCACGCACCACACAAAGGTCCTGAACTGCATGCTGAACGCCCGGGGGTATTTGTCTTGTTTCTTCCATTCATCCCATGCATGATCTCTCCATTGGTTGTGTGATCTCATCATTTATTCGTATGAGGTCCCATACCTGGGACAAACAGCGAGTCGGAAAGCCACTGACTCCTCCACATTTCCTCGCAGATGTTGATGATGCCCTGAACCGCGCCAATCTAGAGTGAAAACGCACAAAGGATGAAAAGTCGATGAAGCAACAGCTACTATCTCTAGTAGCCGAGCTCCTTGAGAGCCTCGGCGGTCTTGTCGTTGACCTTGGCGCTCTTCTTGGCCTCGGAAAGCTGGCGGGCGGCGAGCTTCTTGCGCTCGTAGTAGGCGGCGCCCTTGGCCTTGCGGCGCTCCTCGAGTCTACCAAGCAGTTAGCGACACAAGGTGCGCTGTTTCGGGAAGCAAGAGCCTCAGCTCTTATAGAACCAACGTACCTGGCAACAACATCCTCGTACTTCCAGCCGACCTCGGAGCTGAGACGGCCAACGGTGCAGAACTTGCGACCGGGCTGGAGTCTCAGGACACGGAGAGCCTGGGGAACGACCATCTTCTTCTTCTTGTCATAGGGGGGAGGGACACCCTCGAAGACCTTGAGGCGCTCAAGGGCAGCGGCGCCACGGGCAGTCTTGTGGGGAATCATGCCGCGGACAGCCTTGTAGAAGATGCGGGAAGGAGCGCGGAAGTGGAAGGGACCTATGGGCAGTCAGTATCGTCTGACCGAGAACTCGACTGTCATCGTCGTCGTGTCGGAAGGGCTGTAACTCACCACCGCGAGTGGGGTTGTACCGGGTCATCTTGCGCAGGTACGAGTGGTACTTGACTATAATCGCGGTTCCGTGTCAGTCTGACTGTTCTCGTCGTTCGATGCTTATTGTTCGTTTCGCCCATGACTGCGATTCCCAAACTACCCTCCTCCTGCCGTGCCCAATTCCAAAATCCTCCCGAATGTCCATTGTCGCAGTCATGTTTCTCGGTTTCGTGTAGGAGTGAAGGTGTAACGTACGCTTGGCGCGGAAGAACTCGCCAGAGATGTTGAGGGCCTCGCAGCGGACCACAACGATCTTCTGACCGTTGAGGAGCTGCTTGGCGACGATGCTGGCGAGGCGACCGAGGAGGTGGCCCTTGCCGTCGATGACGACCTGTAAAGCAACAGGTTAGCCATCACAAAACTGCTGCTGCCGCACCCTTGCCGTCGACCGGCCCCTCTCAGTGTGCCGTGTCCCAAGCTTCGCGCAATTCCATATCCGTATCCATCGCCGTATCGAACATGTCGTGTCCATCTCGTTCGGTGTCGCTGCAGCGGTCGGCAGCCTAGCCATTCGTCGCAATACGGATATGGAACCGGTGGAAACCACATCCATCATCAAGTCGGTTTCGGGGATTCGCAACGTACCACAGACTCGAAAGAAGACATCTTTGCCGGGGAAGACTGGGTTGACAAAGAAGGAGGATTAGCGATCTGTCCGTCAAGCTCCGGCAGATCAAATGGGCAGCAAGTCTGGCTCTTACCTCGCGATGGTTGACGGTCTGCGACTTTTTTGTGTGTGCTGAAAATTGCCCGTGTGCTTGGTGTTGGGAGATATGCACTAGTCCGTTTTCGGAAGCGGTGGAGGCTTGCCAGCCAGTGTGGCCTTTGCTGCCTGAGGCGTTGGGGTAGGGTTAGACCTACAGTCTGTAATTGGTGGGGCTGGGTTTCGCCTTGCTTTCCGTGTCTTGGCAATCCTGTGGCGCGCGACGACCACGCTGATAACCTTATCACGGCCCCCTTGATTCTGATTTCAAGGTGCTTGCAGTGGTTCTTTCGTGGGCAGAATGATTACCTATGATCTCATCACTGGACACTGATAAGTGAATTGCGCTTCATATCGATGGTCAGCTTTGTTGTTTTGTGGCCTTTGCCATGATTGTGGTCATCACCTTGAGCGATGACTGCTCACAATCAACAGGACGGACGATCATCGTCACGTCACTGCTAGCCATCAAGGTAGTTACCAACGGGTCTTTGGATGCAGTGCGAACTCTCTGAACTGGGCCTTTGGGAGGGACGCCAGTCAATTACCATCTATGACCTGGTCAACAATATCCCATCGCTTCGGACCACGTTCTTTGCACAAAATGCTAGATTCTCTTCAACTTCCATGTTCTCGTGTCACACCGCTGGACAAGAGATACAAGAAGCCTTCAACCCGCAAAAGCAATTATAGAAATCTAAGCGCAACAAAACAGAGCAGCTGGTGACGTTGCACCAGTAACCCCTATACGCCTTTCACATGGCTGGATTACCAAAGAATTGTCGACTTTGTAACGAGGAACCACCTAAATCCTTCCATTCTCATGCTGATTATGAAGCTTGAAAAATGACAAAAATCCGGGTACTACGCCTATGACCGTCCACACTATTATGCCTTAAGAGCCTCGTCGAGCGTCTTCAGGATATCCTGGCATTGCTTCACCATCTCCTTCCTCCTTGTGCGAACTGCGACATCTCCTCCCGTTTCGATATCGTCAAACTTCAGGAGGACCTGCTGTAGGATCGTCTCTGAAAGCCTGAGGTGCTCCTCTGATCTCTTTTTAGGATCCGAAGGAGGATGGGTCGCAAATTGTCGGCACAATGGCAGGAGTGTGTTGTTGAAGTGGGCGGCGATTTGATCGAGCTTCTCGATGGGACCGCCCGGGGCAACTGAGGCCGGGCTGGCGCGAGTAACGCTACCGGCCGAGATAGCGGAGATTGCCGAGACCCCGGACACTCCGGATGCTGCCGAAAATCCGGACTCGGCTGAAGGGGAGTGAGATCGAACTCGTGAAGCTGCCCTCTTGCGAGGATCTTCGGTCGGCACTCTGAGACCAACATCCGAAGCACTCTCTTGTGGGCTCTGAGGGCTACGGGCACCTCGTTCCTCCCTGGTCCTGCCCCTACGCTTCTTACGATGCTTTTTCGACGGCTCAGGCTCCTCGCGGACCTCGTGTCCGTCACGATCAACGATAACAATCTCATCGCTCCCCACATCACTGCTGCTCTCGGATTCGCGCTCGCTGATCGTAACCGTGATCTCGCTGTTGTGCTTGGCTCCATACTCTCGAATGGGCTTGTCATCATCCCTCAAGCGCCGGCCCTTGTAGTACAGACGGATCCTCCCGTGGCGATCGGAAATCCCCAAGATGAGCTTCACTCGCTCCTTCACATCGCTGACCAGGAGTTTGCCGTCGCCAATCGAGTACGCAGGAAACCCCTCAGGGTACACAGCGTTCTTGTAAACAATGTTAAGAGCGTCGTCTTCGGGTTCTTCGTACCTGCTGATACCCTGAACAGCAGCCTGTGGTGACCGAGTATAGTCATAGCGCTGACTGTATCGAGGACTGTCAAGATCCTCGGTAGTGATGTAGCTGAAATCTTCCTCAGTCACACTCGGCACACCCCCTTGGCCAACACCCGAGTTCCAAGGCGACAAGCTGGGGCGCCCCCACCAAGACATCTTCCCTCCCTTTCTGCTTTTGGATTTCCGGGCGGCGACGACGGGGATGACGCTCAGAGCGAGGAGTGTACCAGCGGCGGCAGTGTAGACCTGGGAGGGAGAAAAACCGGTCGCTAACTGAAGATACTCTGAAGCTGAGGCTAGATGCTCAGCGGTAGTCTCGAGGTAAGGCTGCAGCTGAGTCGGGACTTTCAAGAAAGACGTGATGTTGGCAAGCTGGGCAACGAAGGCACCTGACGATGCCGAATCTCCTCCGGAAGCCACCTTTGCGACTGTGTGCTGGTCCTACGACAGTACGCCGTTGACCTGCTGCGAAAGAAAAGAAGAGAAAGTGGGAATCTGAAGAGTCTATTATAGTCGATCTGATCGGTTTGGGGGGTAATTGGGTTGACGTTTTATGACGGGTGGGATCGTATGATACGGCGCTGCTATCAACTTGGCCGCAGGCGTCAAGCAATCAACGGCGGACAAGATCTAGATGGATAGAAAGGTGTGAGACCAATCGCGAAGCTGGGGACGTAGTGCTGTGTCTTCGTGGGTTGGCGAAGAAGGGTACGAGAGACCGGTTGTCTTTGACACCCGTATCCGAAATGGGTAGGGAAATGACGACTAGAACGACGATCACCGCCTCGGGATCCAAGGGTCCTTTTTCAGGCTGTTGCGCAGATGCGGGAGTGGGCGTCTTTGGCAACACAGCCGATGAGTCTAGCAAGGCCGGCAAGGTTGGGTGCGAATGGTGGGAATGGCGGCGGACAGGTGGAAGGCCAGGTTCGGGTGATGTTTGAGGTTTGAGGGTATAGGCCTGGAACGTACGGTGGCGGTTTGTTCATGTACTATGTAGGGACTCGGACAATTTCGAAATCAGAAGGAAAGGTTAAAAGGGCGACCGGGATCCCAACTTTTCATCTGAACACCCGTCCGAAAGGGAAGAACCCACGGAGCCGCTAAAGTGGCGCCAACTCCCAAGGCCAAGGCACGCTTGCTTGCTACTCTTGCCCCGGGGCGTGTCTGCTGCAAGTACTCTCATTGGAACCACATCGGTATCATTAGGTAATCCATCATGACTCGCACGTTCATCGACTGGCTCATGTTGTTCGCCTCAAGAGCTCAACGGCCCCTTCATTGTTCTCAAATTCAACCATCTTTGTGACCTTGGATGTTACATACCTTATTATGTGGCTCCCTGCAAGAGGCCGCTTCAGGGCCTCGAATCGGGCAAGCAAATAGTGAACTCAGCGCTCTGGTGTTGTGAGTGTGCGACTGAAAATTCAACCACCAGTCATTGCCTCACCTTGGAGAGAATCGTCCATCAATGTCGGATAACGTCGAAAGAAAGAGGACGCTAACCTTTTCCGTTCAACCTCTCTTCGCCTCGCTTTCTCGTACGCGTGGGAGAGCCGAGGCGTGTTCGGTTCATTCTGGTCACAGTTTCGAGAGCTCTCTGGCGAAAGAAATCACCACGAAGTACGCAGTACATGATCAACCAGCAGGCCGTGTTCGCACGGCCGAACCTGGAATGAGTGAGCGTCAGGGTCACTCACGTGCATCGCTTCCCAAGACCCGTGGAGCCGTCTCGCGCTCTGTTCTGGGGAAGGTGGACTGGCCAACTGGGTCTAAGCCAGGATCACGATGCCGTGGCGGCAGCAAAGTCGATGACATGCATTTCGTCCCAGATGAAGTCATGGCCGGGCCCAAGGCTGCCGACCATCTGATCCCCTCACATACTGTGAATAGCCTCATTCGTCGCTCCAATAAGTAACGCTGGCAAGTCCGCCTCACCAGAACTTGCGATCTAACCCGATTTGCCTTCCCTTGACCTTGAGCACAGTGCTGGAGAGGGTCGGGCTTGCCAGGCTGATTCAAGAGTATGAAGTGTTGCATTCGCTTCGCGCACCAGACTGGCCACCAACTGCCCCGGCCAGCCGTGGCTGCAATCGGCATTCCGAGTGGAACCCTTGATGGCGGCTATCCTCGCTGTTCTGATGACGTTCCTGTCAGCATTGCAGCGCGGCCGATTGCGGACGACCCTCTTCTTATCACCATGGGTATCGTAGCATCGTGAAAGATTTCACTGGAAAAACAATACCCTCGGCAGTTTGTAGGCACTTCAAAAGCTTGGAGCGATCGAACATCATTTCCTGGTGCCGATATCGTTTTCAACTTCAAACATTTGCGCGGAGGCTTGCCAAATCTCAGCACGGCCAAGTATCGTGGCTTGAAATTTGGGGAAGTGGGGTAGTTAGGGAAAGGGACGGAGTTGAGATAACGGCGGGGATTGATGATGGCTTTCTGGTGAATCGCGGGTGAATCGCGCGGTCAGAAAGGCCTTTGCGTCATTGGAATATTCGTGTCCATGCAGCACCTACTTCTAGGATGAGCCGTGTACATAGTAAAGACGGCAAATATTCCATTTAAGGAGCGCAAAGTGAAATCAGAGATGATGGCAACATCCATCTTATATCTGATACTCGAGACACCTCGAGAGACCGGCGGACTTCAACCGGTTGAACTGGGTTCAAGTTGTTTCCATTGAGGATGAGGAAACTGAAATCACTCCGCAATTAACGTGATGGAGTCGCCCGCGGTGACTTTGCGGCATCTTGCACGCCGAAAGTGTGCAGAAGCCGCACAGTGTCGGGAGTGCCTCATCCCCGATCCTCTATCAAATGACCCAGTCTTTGAACTACCCGATATGGGAGAGCCTTCCAAAACTGGAGTCGTGACAAATTCACACCGAATGTCGCAATCGCCATTCCTCCCCCTCAGATCTCGTTGTGCCCACCCTAGTTCGACACACGGTTACACACGCCTTTCCAAAGCTTCGGTTTCTGCAGTGCTTAGTTTCCCCAAATTTACCCATATAAAGCCTTTCCCCTCCCTTTTGTATATATATATCTATATCGCTCTCTTGGACCTCCACCTCGCGCAATCTCTATGTCCTTCATCTTCCGCCGCTTCTTCTCCAGCACCACATCAACCATGTCCGACGCCGCTACTCAGAAGGCTAAGCAGCTGATCAACGACAACGCTGTCGGTATGTGACAACTCTACGTTCAACTGTTTCCCGCGTTCCCCTGCGCACTGGCATATGATGTCGCGCGAAGCCATCAGCTACATCGGCACGGGCCGCTACACGTGCGAATTTTGTGCGCGAGTCCGACGGTCTGGTGCATGCACCGCTCGCTCTAGAACCCTTATCGTGTATCTCTTGCGGAGGCTCGCTATTTCGATCTTCGCTCTCGCCTGTATCAATGAACTTGGAAACTGGCTTTCGCTCTTCCATGCAGTTAATTGCAGATAATCTGTTGCGAGTCGCGTGCGGCAACCCATTGCTAACGATTCATCGTCGCAAACAGTTGTTTTCAGCAAGTCCTATTGCCCCTACTGCTCCAACACCAAGCAAATCCTCGACGGCCTCAATGCCAAGTACGCTACCTACGAGCTCAACCAGGAAAGCGATGGCTCCGATGTCCAGGACGCTCTTCTCAAGTTGACCGGCCAGCGCACTGTCCCGAACATCTTCATTGGCAAGCAGCACATTGGCGGTAACTCCGATCTCGAGGCTGTTGTCAAGAACGGCAAGAACGGCAAGAAGATCCAAGAGCTCCTCCAAGAGGCGGGCGCTCTGTAAGTCGCTCTCCGCAAGACACGTTAGAAACAACCTCGGTGTTCTCGAAGGACACAACTGTCTGGGTTGAAAGAAACCTCTACAGGGAGAACCGTCGGCAAAGGGGAAAAGCGCTCGAGAGGCTCAAATGGTGGGAGACATCACGAGAGCCCCGTGGTGTGCGTGGCGCCATGGGCCTCTACTTCTGCTAGTAGTTTTTGTAAATGCGGGATGGGATACCCAGGGATCTATGAAAGGGTGGCTATTCGTCTGAAGCGGTTTTGCGAAAATAAAGGCATTGGAATACCCCAACATCATGGTCATACGTGTGCGCAAAGCTTGGAATCGTGATCATCGATATGAGTGCAAAAACGCGCCTGATGCATTTCTGCTTACATCCAACCCAATCCTGGGCTAAGAAGGCTTGTAAATCTCCCCAATCGATGGGCTTCTTACTATTCGTATTGTCTATACCACCTGAGCCGCGATGGTTCCAACCGGCCTCTCCACAAACTCCATGATGCCCTCAACTATGCTCTTTCTCGCCGGCTCGCTGGCAACCTTCTTACCAGCCAAGTAGTTCAGCCACAGAGCACGTGAGACACGCTCGTCATCAACGGTGCCAACCAACTGTCTCCCTGCCGGCCTCCCTTCCTTCTTGTTGCCGCCATCGTCATACACAACGCTCAACTTACCCTCTCCGTCGCGGATTAACAGAAGTTCTTGCTTTGCCGGAACCTTTCCGCGGTTGAAAATCTGCCTGAAGTCTTTCATCGCCTCGCCAAATTGCTCGTCCCCAACCTTACCAGCCCTGGCCTGGATAGCACGCACGAAGCCATCCCTCAAGTGGTGGAAGTCGGTGTCGCGCACGGGAATCACACGGAAGACGGACCGCGCAGGGATTCCGTTCGCCAGCAGGCCGTCCCAGATTTCTTCACCCTTGGCGGGGTCAAGCAGATCGGTGCGCAGCTGGTCGCGCTCGCCGGCTACGAGCGTTGTGGCAATCGGGTTGACCTTCTTGGTCAGCGCCGACTGCAGCGAGGCCACGTCGGCGGTGGCGACGTAGTAACCCACCACGTAGACCTGGATGCCGATGAAGGTGACGGTGCGCAGACCGAAGCCCACGAGGGTGTACTCGGTCTGGTCGGGGCCGGTGATTGTCGGGGCCAAGCCCGAGGCGGAGGGGCCGGGGGCGATGGCCCCCTCAAAGCTACCGAGCTCGAGCGTACGCGGGAAAGTTGGGACGGTGCTGTTGCCGGTTGGTACGAGTTCGTGGCCTTTTTCGTCGCGCATGACTACTTTGCGCTCGGCGGCGTTGGTGCCGGCGAGAGGGTCGGTCGAAGGCAGGCTGGAGTCGGCGTGGACGGGTTTCTTGAGCTCGAGCTTGATGAGGTAGCCGACGTAGATCATGGAGCTGACGCTACAGAAAAGCCCCGTCCAGAGGAAGGCGCGGCGGTTGCGGGCATACTTGAGTTGTTGCTCCGAGAGCTTGTTGACGTCGAGGCGGTTGAGGTGCTCATTGGGTTGGCTTCGCGGAGGGCTCAGGAAGGTTCGGCGCGAAGCTGGAGTTCGTGTTGCGGCTTTGGCCGCGGATCCAAAGGACCTGGGCAGTTGCTTGAAGGTCGACTGGCGAAGCATGACTGTCGTGGACTGTTGCAAGCTTTAGAGCTGTTCTGTGCAATTAAAGATCAGTTGAGTAACTTGACTGGTTAACCTCATGTCCAAGCTTTGCACATCGATCTTGTGCAATTCCTGAAGACCTTGTCCTAGTCGCTTGGGTCTAGAAGCTTTGAGGTTGGTGATACTGACTCTAGCTCCGTAACCAGAAGACGAGATTGACATGGCTTTGCTAGGTAGCTTGAGCTTCGCAGTGGCCAGCGGTGGGCACTCTATTCGAGTTCAGAGGCTTAACAGTAAATCTCTGGATCGCCTCGAGTTGTCGGTAAAAGTGGCCGCAGTTGTTACTCATTGTTAAGAGCACTAGCAATTCGATGAACCAAATCGGTATCGCAGGATGATAATGAATGCAACCTCTGAGCATCCCGTCGTCAAAAGTGAAGTTGCCGATGGCCTTCCTGACTGCCCTACAAACCACAAGAATCCCACTGTTCCATTAAAAGTATTCTGCGTGCTGCTTGTACACTACTGTACATGGTAAGCTGCCTCGACCGATATCGACCATCTAAGATACCCCCCACCCCCGCGGCGCGATTCCGATGATGCATATTATTTAGTGTATTTATTATGACCGGCGGGAGTGGTCCTCGAGGTTCCAGGGAAGTGGATTCGGATGCAAAAACCATACTATGCCCTGGTGGTGAATGGTCATCGAAGGAATACTATGTACTCGTCAGGAGCAAGCCTCCGCTTCCATGCTCCTTGCCTGTGCTTTTGCCTTTCCATCAGGACTATTTACCTGCTCTTGATGGCCGATTTGCAGACAAGTCTTCCCAGTCTCCTCCGAGTTCAGCTTCATGGTCCATGTATAGGTTATAGTGTCTATCTCCCCCCTCTTCCCTGAGAAAAAAGGAAGAATTGGAGAATAAAGGTGCAATTAAATCAATAGCAAAGAAATAAGAACAATATATACCAAAAAAAACAAGTTTCTCCTTCCATCTCTTCCCTTTTCTCCTCTTTTGCTCCCATCATCAGTCCTTTTGACAATACCCCCCCTATCTGAGGTATGAGGTCGCCCTCCCATTGGTGATACGGTTCGGACATCCTAAGGTGGGACGAGCTGAAGTGACAAAACCAGGCTCTCCAGGGTCCGTCGCGGGGTTATGGAGAGTAGTCTAATGTAGAGAGAGGTAGGTATGCGAACAAAGCGCAGGCCTTACCATGAACTGACCCCAAGTTCTAAAGTATCGGCAGAGGGTCGAGATTCGCACATCATTTACACTATTGAATATCGGCTGGCCAGCGACCGTCGGGCTCTAAGCGCCATGCAGAGCGTCATGGGCGAATAACCGTTGCACATCTGATCAGTCTCGTTCTCGAGCGACCTTAATACAACCTCAATGTGCAGCATGGTTTTGGGAAGGCTCTGCTACTGTCGGGCTCATTATCTTCCCTTGCGTTTTGAAGCCTAAACAAAGATGTCGAAATGGCAGTTGGCACGCTCAGTCTCGACTCCAAACGACAATCCTAGAGATATCTACCTAGTAATGCCACTATCCCGACCCTGTTTTTCCGATGTTGACAAACGACATCCAAACTCCAGACTCTAGGCCGAAAATTGCTGGGTCTCGGATGGGACGGACAATCGCTCGCTAGCTGAACCTTGCTGGCCACCGTATAGCCATCGCCCTATGATGATTAGAGGAGGAAATTGGCTTGCCTTTGCTGACACTATCCGAATTGTCCACTCCTCCTAGTACCTGTTGTGATGGTTTATGTCACAGAGTTGCACCAGCTGATGGCTCTCGAGATCTGTGTTGTTGCATCAACAAGAGGGGTCTACACACATTGTATGTCATGAGGCTGCAGGACAGTCACCAGACTTTGTCAAGTCCGGACCTGGAAACTCTGGAGTTTTGGAGTCTCCCGTATGTCTCGATGTGTCGGTGCGCAGTGATCACGACTAGTGTTTGCCTGCTTTCCTACCGTCACGGCTCTTCCCAACCTAGCCAATAGCATGGGAATGATAATTCGTGGGATACTACTACGGGCACTAGCTGTATGAGAGCAAATGGAGACATGCATGGAAACTCCCGTCGAGAACGTGGATGCAAAGGGACAATGACTACATACAGTACAGGTACCTATACAGCCGCCGACGGACAGCCCGCTGCGTCTACACCACGCTAGATAGCGACAGGACTGGCGTGTAACGGGACCTCCACTGCCCATCCCCTGAATACCTAGGTAGGTAGTACATAACTGCTACAATGGCGTAACCTGCATGGCATCTGGCTCTCGATATCGGGCAGTAGCGGCCCGCCATACTTGCCTACCAACTGGCGATCAAACGGGGCCAGCCATAATTCGTAGTCTAGAGATATGTTAGGAATTTCCAAGAAAGAACAGGGCGCGATCAAATCCTCCAGGAAGAATACGAACCTCAGCAAGACGAGCTGGATCGGAGGTTTACGCCCGACCGTTGAGAGCGGCAGTGACCCGAGAGCGTGACCGGGAAATGGATGCTAGGTGCCTGCTTCAGTGCCGCTCACTGACGCTGCAGCTTTTCCCCACTCGTCCTGTTGCCCTGTCTCGCCTTGTGCCAGCCAGGTTTCGCCCATTCCCTTTCCATCCGCATTTAAGCACTCCGTCCAAACCTACGTACTAGGTAGGTAGGTACCTCTAGTGAAGGCCCTGCACAGTCAGTGCAGCTACCAGTGCCGCTGTCGGTTTCCCGCTACCAACAATAAACCCCGGGCATCTTCTCTTGCTCAACCGGGCATCCTCTTCAAGCAAGCGAGCCCCATTAACCTTGCAACACAAATCGCCATCATCGACAATTCTTCGTCCTTTCCCCCGACAACAACTTTCCATTCTTTGTACAAGTATACAATAAATATCTAGCACGCTTGAAAGACAAGAGGCGCCAGTGCTACCAACCCGTCGGCACCCTATCTCGGCGGCTTCTTGACCAACTTGAACCGAACCTCCACCCTTCGCTCACGCCGCCCCGACTTCCCTCCCGTCTTTCTGAGGACCATCTCGTCACTCCTAGTCTTCCACCGTCTACCTGCCAATAAGCAGAGGCTCCCTTGACCTGGCATTTGATCAACCTGCAGCCTTGGTCCCCCTAGCACCTTCAACCCACCCCGACGAGCAATCAACCGATCCTCGCGCTTACTTAGTCATCCATCGCCTTGCCTCTTGTCGCGCTCCTCCCGACAACTTGCTCGACGACTCTACACATCTCTCTTCGCTTGCCACCAGACTGGCACGACTTTTATCATGAGGCTACGTGCTTCTCTCGACATAATCGCCGACGACCGGAGAACACCGATGGCCCACGGGGACGCGGCTCCCGAAGCCCACTCGGAGGCCGCCCAACAGCAGGCTCAAGACGATTCACGATCAACTTCGTCGTCGAGCACCCCTCCGCCCGTCGACAATGAAGAATCCGACTTCTTTCTCGCTGCGAACGACTCCCAGTCGTCGCTAGGCGTTCCCAACATCGAGAACATGCAAGTCGCCGATGAGGAATGCCGTGTAGCGCCTATTAATCGCTTGCCCAACGAACTACTCATTGCCATCTTCGTCAAACTCACAACCTCCTCAGATATTCTCCATGTCATGCTGACGTGCAAGTCATGGGCTCGGAATGCAGTGGAAATTCTGTGGCACCGTCCAGCTTGCTCATCCTGGGAACGACACACGATCATCTGCCAAACTCTCAGTGCGCCACGACCGTACTTCGCCTACCGACATTTCATTAGGCGTCTCAATTTGTCAGCCCTCGCTCCCGAACTCAACGATGGCAGTGTCGAGTCTTTGGAGATGTGCAGTCGTGTCGAGCGACTGACCATGACTGGTTGTAAACGCATCACGGATGCTGGTCTCCTCAAATTGCTACGGAACAACACTGGCCTCCTGGCTCTCGACATTTCTGGCATGGAAGACATCACGGAAAATTCTATCAACGCTGTGGCGGAAAAGTGCTCTAGACTACAGGGCCTCAATATCTCCAACTGCACTAAGATCTCAGTCGCGAGTCTGGTGCAGCTGGCGCAGAGCTGCAGATTTATCAAGAGGGTAAGTTCTTTCCACTACATCGCCCAGTGAACGGGGTAGCTTTGCCTTTGGTGGTGAGAATCTGGGTATGAAAGCAAACGCTGACGTCTTTTGTCCATGCAGTTGAAATTGAACGAGTGTGCTCAGGTGACTGACGAGGCCGTCATCGCATTTGCTGAGAATTGCCCCAACATCCTCGAGATCGATCTTCACCAATGCCGCCTAATTGGGAACGATCCGGTTACGGCGCTCATGTCTAAAGGCAAAGCTCTTCGAGAGCTCCGCCTTGCGAGTTGCGATTTGATTGACGACTCTGCATTCCTTTCCTTACCTCCAAACAAGACCTACGAGCAACTCCGAATCCTAGACCTGACGTCTTGCTCCAGACTGACGGACCGAGCTGTTGAGAAGATCATTGATGTAGCTCCTCGCCTGCGCAACCTCGTGCTCGCGAAGTGTCGTAACATCACAGATGCGGCTGTGTTCGCTATCGCCAGGCTGGGCAAGAATCTGCACTATGTCCATCTGGGCCATTGCGGAAACATCACAGATGAAGCTGTCAAACGTCTGGTTCAATGTTGTAACCGGATTCGATACATCGACCTTGGTTGCTGCGTTCATTTGACAGATGACTCTGTCGTGAGACTTGCTACTTTGCCCAAGCTTAAGCGCATTGGTTTGGTCAAATGTTCAAATATCACAGATGAGAGTGTCTACGCTCTTGCTAGGGCGAATCAACGCCGGCCTCGCAGAGATGCTGACGGTAATCTTGTTCCCGGGGACTGTTACAACAATATGCACCACAGCAGCCTTGAGAGGGTTCATTTGAGCTATTGCACCAACCTGACATTGAGGGTAAGTGAAATCGTGAATTATCCACCTCGGTTGTGATCCTAACATTGTCCCTTAGAGTGTCCTAAGACTTCTGAACGCATGCCCTCGTCTCACTCACCTGAGTGTTACGGGTGTCCAAGCGTTCCTGCGGGAGGATTTGGAGAGTTTCTGCCGTGAGGCACCAGCTGGTATGCTGATAATCCCTCCCAAGCGATTCACCATAAAGTTCAAGGGCTAACGAAACCTACAGAGTTCACCGAACATCAGAGAGCTGTTTTCTGCGTCTTTTCCGGCCAGGGGGTGACGAATCTTCGGCGCTACCTCAACAGCGAGCACAATCTGACAGAGATCGCTCGTGGTGCAAGACCAATCGACGAAGGAGTGCCGAACCGAGCCGGCCCCGTTTTCCCAGGAACAGCAGTCAACCCCATGCAGGTCACTCCACCTGGTCACCATGGCGCAGCAGCTGCGTTCATTGACGATGGCGAGCCTGATGCGGTAGACGACGATGATGGCTTGGAAGATGGGAGCGAGATGGTAATTGACACGCAGCCAATGCTGCATAATCACCATGCGGTTATGGGCGGTACTGCGTTCCCTATACAGGGCGTGGCATCCACAGAACAGCTGCTGCCGCCGCCACCACCTGCGATACAGCCACAGCAGCACCTCGTTACGAACCCCTTCCACTTTGTTCCTGGCCAGCCATTTGCCATACCACCTCATGGCCTTCAGTTTTATGAGGCGGTGCGGGCGACAGAATCCGGTGCCGTTTCTGGGACCCCTACGCATGTTCCGTTAGTTGGTCAAGCGACGGGGCTGGAATCAACAATCGCTGAAGGCAGCCATCATTCAGGAGTTGCCAGGCACTCACCAGGCACAGCAACATCTCAAAACCCAGATGCATCGCAGGCCCTCCCCCCAAACCCGATGGGAAATATCGAGCTGGCGATACTCACAGGCAACCGAAATTCTGATGTGAGTGGCAGTGGAGGGGCGTCCGTATAGCGCGCGTTGCGGTTTTACTTTGAGCAATAATGCCACGGCTTCTTGCTAGTTCGCAATGGATGAGTGGGAGTGGATGGAAATACGGTTTTACTTCTGGTGGTTCGTGGGATACATAAAAATTTGACTGGAATACTTCGCAGGCTGTAGCGGGGCGTTTCAATGACTTTATGATTATCGCTGTGTGCTCATCGAAGATGCCGAGTGGCTCGTCTTCTTATACCGGGAGTTGCGGCTTTTCGAAGACCTAAGAGGTTACCCATTACATTAGGCTAGAAGATTGTTATTTATGCCTTTGCCTTCATCCGTATCTGCTTTTATTTCGACTTTGATATTTCTTCAATTGGCCTCCGGTACGCGATGAGCACCAATGGGGGGTCATCCACCAACGATAGAAGAACGTGTGCGACAGCGCGCAACAGGATGGCTCGTGCAGGACAAATTTGATGACAATCGAGTTCAGATTTTGACTCTGCACCCGGCGAAAGGCTGGGCGGCTTTCAGCTAAGAAACCATGAGAAAAATGGGTTGATCAGATACCACAAATACTACAGAACTGTATAGACTTCATAGGCGCTGTCGTAGAGCATTTGATACAATAGATTTCGTTGATTTGCGTGCTACTTTGGCTGAGCTTGGTGTTGTTCTGGGCGGTGGACTCGGGTGTCATCGATCTTGTCCGGGGCAAGGATGTGTACGACAAGAAACGGATACAGAAGAGAGGAATAAATGGAGGTCTGATATATATTTTAACCCCTGGTTCCTGGAGCGTTGAAGACCAAGGGAAGCGTACCCGGGACTGACAGGCGATGTGGATACTGACATCAACTAGCTCAAAACTCTGAAGATCTAGACGCTCTCAGACTCTACTCAAAATAGCCAATGACGATAACCCTTTTGCAGCACTTGCGGGGATCGAGGGAGCAATCAAGGAAATGCGCGATGTCATGAAATCGAATATACCCATGGATTTTTCACATGCATTGCAGGAAGCAGAATCCGGGGTTTGACTCTGGGGAAGATCGGCCTGGAGAGTCAATGGAGAAGAGGCTTAGGAAGGTTACTTTTAAGGCGAGCTGGACATCATCATATGATTGATACCTACATAGTCCGATTATCTACCTAGGCATCTCGTGCCGACTTCCGAGGGTTCAGATATCCTGTGAAGGTTGGAGCGTTGTCTCGTTGTCGGCAAAGTCACATCACATCGAAACGTTAGATCTCATTGCGGCAACGGACTGAACTCCGGCAGATAACCTGGGTCGGCATACCTATGTGCAGCTCTAGAAACACTGTAATCATGTTGATGTTGGTATCTTGGTATAAAGCTGAGCTGTCATCCTTCAAGAGCATATCCGAAGCAGAGCTTACTGAAAGGCACGGGAACTCTAACGGTTGCTGAGAAGGACCAGAGCAGAGGGAATCGGATATTCAATTAACCGAGCACTGACAAAAGATAAGTCAGAATACCCCATGCCATCAATAGAAATCTCGCAGTGGACATCGCAGATCTTGCATTAACAAGTGGATCTAATATGCACATGGGTCAGGGGACATGTCCGGGTTTGGAAGCCAACAAGAAGAAAAAAAAAACGCAAAGAGAGCGAGAGAGAAAAAAAAAGACAAAAAGAGAATTTCCCCTCGACCGGAATCGAGCCGGTGACCTTTCGGTATACAATCTAGACAATTACAGCCGAACGTGATATCCAACTACACCACAAGGGGTTTTGATTATTGAAAAGTTTTCTGCAAAGCAGAGTTTTTGAGGCTGGTCTGAGTTCAGTACAGCTTCAACCCAAGCTCTTGAAAGCAGTTTCGGGACAAAAAAAAACAAAATTGAGCACCATTTCTACTTTATTGTCATTCGTAGCTTGGAAGAAAGTCGCATGTCTGTACTCTAAGAATTTCAACACTTGGATTGGAAGCAATGCTAGTCGGTATGTGTCCACCTGCTGCATGTGTTTATATAGGTATCTGCTGAACAGCATCGACGTCGCGGGTTGCGAAGAGAACTTTCCCTTGACCAGAGCTGTATCATGATTCTATGAATGCCAAAACCCACCTAAAAACTCACAACCCAAGGGACCTTGGCGCAGTTGGCTAGCGCGCAGGTCTCATACCCCTGTATGATCTGGTTCAAAAATCAGAGTAATCCTGAGGTCGGGAGTTCGAGCCTCCCAGGTCCCATTTATTTTGCCAAATTTCTGGCCCTCGTTTTGTTTTTGGTCTTTTTCTTAATTGAGCCTGTCCCGCCTTGTTTTCTCCAACAACCAACAGGGCAACGATGTCCGTCCCCCTTCTTTTCCCGTTTCCTGATGGAGCGCCGTCCTCTGAACATCACCCAGTCGGTTCATAATGCAGCGCGCTTTCAGCAGTACTTCGAATAAGAGAGAGTCGCTACCGAACACAAGGCGCACAACAAGATGGCCATTCTCTTGGAAAACAGGACTCCTTTTGTGGACCTCCAGGCGTTGGTTGGCACAGCAACGGCGAAGGACGCTTGATTGCCGCCGCACTATCGCGGCCTGTTCCGACATCCAGCGAACGGTGTTAGGATATTGCGAGCTCAGAAGATTTCCCAGAGCATCGTAATGATTCCGAGACATCCATTGAAACCATGCCCTTGCTTGCGCAGAAACGGTCCACAGACATGCTTCTCTGCCAAACCCCCCCCCCCCCCCCCCCCCCTCTTGACGCGCGTTGTCATAACTGTGCATCAGTACAAAAGTCCCAGAATACTCACAATTGCAATTTGGCCGTACCGTCCGGATATCATAAAGCCCCGCCGGCTGATGTCAAATCCAGGGCGGTAACTGGACCCATGCATCCAAGGGGAAAGCGGCTCGCTGGCATGTCAGAACGTCGGACTTAACAGCCTGCAAGATACCAGGAAGATCGAACGCCGGTGTCTCCAAAGATGTCGCCTTGGAAGTGGGAGTCGACTGGCCGCAGGATGAGAGATGTGGATTGATCCGGCTTTGCCTCTAGGTTTCACGTCTTGTCCCTCGCCGATCCTTTTGCTGCATTTACTGTGTTGAATAGGTAGACACCGACCAGCCCAAAATGTTCGCCAAAAAGAACCTCACAACCACCCGCCACAGCCGGTTTCAGGCCGATGAACGCATCAAAGCCATCTCCTTCTTCTTCTTCTTCTTCTTCTTCTTCTTCTTCATCACTCTCTCCTACTAACAATCTGGCTACGATTCCGCAGTTATTGTCGGCTTCCAGTCCATGCGCGGCATCCTCAAAATCTATGGCCATGTTGACTCGCACACATCCCTTCGGATTTGGCATCAGCACCAACGTCCAGCCTCTGATCCAGTCCCTCGTCAACAATGGGGAGTTTCGTGTCTGCTTCTTCCCATTTACTTTCTGGGTTCGAGGACCTCGTGTTGGCTTAGTTGATGGATTGGCTGCGCGCTCGCCTTTTTTGTCCGTCTCGATCATGATCGGGGTCAAGAAATCCCGGGGGTCCTGTATGTAGGGCACTTGTTGCGGGGCATGTCGAATGATGGCTTTCTGGTGCCGTATAACATCATATTTGTGAGCAAGTCAGCGCCGACTCAGTTGAGAGGACCAAAGCTCGGGATAATAACAATCTTGCAGACCTCGCTGGAGGGGCTGTTTAGGATCTTGGTTGATGAAATTATACGAATGGGAGGGAAAATTCTGCGTCGTGGGGAATCAGACACCGGGGGATTTCGCCTAGATGGCGGACTCGAAGTTGGCGGGTGTGGAAGGGTGCGAGAAAACGGCGAGATGGGTGTGAAATAAGAGCTTCGCGGCGGTGGCGAAGGATGTGGCTACTAACGAGGCGATTGTGTATTCGAAAGAGACGTGCTGTGATATCGGTGAGTTTTGGTGTCCATTCCCTTTTCTTTCCGCTTCTACCCAGATGAGCTTATACATACTGGAAAGTGAGCGATGGTAGTCCTTCACAAGTACTTCCTCACCATGTTCGATATGTCCATTGGCGAGCTATGGGATCTTGACGCCTTCAGTGGGGCGTGCAAGAGGACAGGGAAGTATAGATTTTTGTTGGCCTCAGCGCCGCTCAACCATCCGAGTCTTGTTACTTCTTCTCCCAATGCTACCGCGGTAATTTGAGCACTTGGACGGACGTGCTGGAGGGTAAAGAAAGGAATGACCAGAGCGGTTTGTAACAGCCAAGTTCCAACGATGGTATCAGCCGATAACATGAAGGCCTGCCACGTAAACTTCGACCAGACCTAAAACTGCAACTGGTATCTCAAGTTTGATTCCCATGCTTTCTTTCTGGAGAGACTCACCCATATCCCACCTATAATAAGCCTTCCACAGCAACGTCCCTCTCACATATCGCCCCCCTCGTCTTTTTCTGCCTCGATTTCTCACTCCTTTGCCTCTCTTGGCTTCTGCCCAAAAGGCAAATACTTGGTATGACTTCCCACCACAACCACCTCCCCCTTCTCCCCCTTCTCCCACCCATCCACTCTTTTCCTAATCTCCAATCCCGTAAACCCCAACTTCCTCCCGCGCCTACTAACCCACGCCTCCACCTCCAACGTGTCTCCCTCCCTAGCCGTCGAACAATAACTCAAATGCATATCTGTGCTCACGCCCGTCGTCATCTGTCTGTCCTGCTCCCCTTCCCCCACTTTGAGTTCATCGCCAGCAATGCTGGCAGCAATAGCCATCCCACCCGCCCAATCGCACAACGTCCCGCTGACGGCACCGTGCAGGATGCGCTTGCTGTTGAGGTGGATTGGTTTCAAAGTCAAGTGGGCGAGGATCCGGCCAGTGGGGTGGGAGACGGCGGCTACGAGGACGATGTCGGACAGAAGAAGGTTGTAGATGGCGGAGTTGGGACGGATGGAGTCCCACACGCGTTGGACGTGGGCGAGCGCGAGGGCGGATGAGGTGGTGGGGGTGAGGGGTAGGAGAATGGATGTTGAGAGGGAAGGAGTGAAGGAGAGGGTTTCTTTTTCGAGGGAAATTGAGGGTTGTTGTGAGTCGCTTGATGATTTTGTTGTTTGGTCTTGGACTTCGGCTTGTGTTTGTGATGCGGGCGGGATGTCCCCGCCGGCGATGGTGGAGGTATCGGCCATTGTGAATTGGGCTTTGATTAGGTGATGATTTGGCTTGAGCCTTGAATTGCTGATATACTTGGATTGAAGTCCTTTTGGTTGTTCGAAAGTTGTTTGGGATTGAATGATGTGGTGCAGTTCTGAACGCGTTGGGGGCGCGGCCCAACTGGAGGTAACATCGGACCTTTGCGGGGATGTGGTCTAAAACGCTCCGTCTCGGGCCGGCCTGCAGCCGTTAGAGTACCGACTTACTAAAGTTTAGTACCGTGCTTGGCAGTGCTCTTTCCACTGTTCCCTTTTCACTTCTGAGGACGGATAAGTAAATGAAGCAGACAACAGCAAATGCTACAACATCATTCATCAAGTGGAGACAAGAGGTTATCAGGCAGCTGATGTTGCTCGGGCGATAAATGAAGCGATGTCGTTCAAGGTTTTTTTAGTCTTCTCCCAGATGTCTCACATTCTATCCTATAACTAAAGTACAAGTCTTCAAAACCTTCTAGACTTCTTACTTTCCATATTTCCCAACGTTCACCAGACTGTGTTGCTCATAGTCTACACTCTCTGAATTTGACCCAAGTCCTGACCCCCACTAATCTTCCTCAGCTCCGCGCCATAAGTAGTGCTTTCGCTGCCCTTAGCCGAAGAGGTCGTAATCAAATCATCATCAGAAGCCTTGGATGAGTATGGGACGGATATTATGGACAGCGTGGTCGGGAATGACATCGTCATGGTTTCTGATCCAGTGATCGCGGCAGTTGAACCAACTCCGTCAGGGATGTCAGACGACATCTGGCTGGCCAACGAAGTAGAAGCTGCCGAGGTCTCTAAAGAGGGGGCGGGAAGAGTGAAGCTATATCCGCTGTCGTATGATGATGACAATGCTGGGGCGGAGTCTGAGGAGCCTTGGCTGGTGGATGGTGAAATCGAAGTAAAGGAGGGTGCGGGAATACCGGTCAACCACGAAGAGGTAACTGTGGGTGAAGCCGTATCTGTAACTGAGAACGATGACAGAGATACCGTGGGAGTTGACGTGTCGCTAGCAGGTAGAGAAGTGGCTGATAAAGCTGATGTGCTGTCGTCGTTAAACCAGTAAGACGTGCTACTGCTGGGAAGGCTAGTTGAAGGAATCCCTTCGCTTGATGAAGGCAACACGCTGGCTGAGGATAACAGAATGGAGCTGGAGATTGTTGGAGTTGTAGTAGATTCTGAAGTCTCTGGGGTCGTGGAAGACTCAGTTACAGAGCCGGTTGATTGTGTGCCGGTCGAGGGCAATGGGATCGAGCTGGAAGTATTTGAAGCCGTCGTAGACTCCGAACTCCCTGGTGTTGTAGAATGTACAGTTACAGAGTATCGTGTGCTGGTCAAATACTTGGTTGTCGCGATCTCACTCGTGACATCGCCAGATGTTATACTGCTATCAAGTGATGACGAGGAAGTGGCTTCATAGCTCGTAGTAGGCTGATAAGACCCCTCACTTTCGGTGTAGCTCACCGGGGCACCATCAGCAACCGACGGGGCAACAGAGTTGGTAGTGGTGAAATGAGCATCTGCTGCGCTTGTGTCGAATTCTGGAACACTAGCAGAAGAGACGGTACCGGGCGTAATAGTCACAGTAACATGGCCCGTGGATGTCAGAATCACGACCGAGGTGGAAGGAGAGTCTACGTCTTTGCCACTAACGGTAGTTTCCAGTTCATCCGGGATGTCCACAGTAGCGGTGACTTCTTGGGTCACTGTAATGGTCGTCTCAATTGTGGAGGTCCTGGTGATGCCTATGGTCGCGCCTGTGATGTGTGTCATTCCTGACGTAGAATCAACATCGGCTATCGTATTGGTAGAAACGGAGCTGATCGAACCATACTCCGGTAACTTGGAAGATGATACCACGCTGTTTTCGCTGCTGGTGCTCGAGGAAGCTGTCACTTCCGAAGATGAACCTAAAGTAGACAATGTCTCGGCAGGCTTCGAAGAAAGGCTAAAAAGACTGGTCGGGATGGGAAGACGGGTACTCAGAGTCAAAGTTTCACTGAATGATGAGCTACTGCTGGGTAGGCCTGTAGAGCTGCTGATGGTTAGCACAGCGGTCGAGCCTGTTCCGGGAATATTTTCCGATGAAATCGATGTGCCAGCATAGGCTGTTGAGTTTCCAAACATTGGGGAGCCAGTCTGGGTAGTAGACACAGCTGGTGGGAAGGCAGTGCCACTACTTGAAGGAACAGGAGGAGAAGATGAGGAGAGTGGAAGGTTGCTAGAAGTGTACGCGGCCGATGTAGCACTGGATGTGGCATTGGAGCCCGGTTGGCTGGAACCTGTAAACGTTGAGAATTCAGTTGGTGTGCTGTTGCTCAAGGAAAAAGCTGGCAGAATTACATGACAATCCGGGGATGCTGCTCAAGGAGCTCGGACAGCCAGAGTATACGGTGACAGTTGATGGGAAAATCGGCGTGCCTCCTGTATTCGCGGAGATGGTGATAGTTGTGTAGGTATAGTCCACCAAGGTAACGGGGACTGTTACGGTTTGGGTTGTCGTGCACGTTTCTCCATTATTCTGACCATACCCTTGACGGCGTCCAAAACCGTTGGGCATGCCATCGACAGCGGTGTAGCTGCCTTTCATATTAGTTTCTTGAAGTTCTGAGGTCTCTGACGGGGAAGCACGTACCCTATGCCTAGCAGAGCAAGATGAACAAATTTAGGCATCGTGGCTACAGCTCACCCTGGGGGCCAGGAGAGCAGGAATGAAAAACAGATGTGGTAGTACCTGCGGAAACAATGTTTATGGAAGGTGAATTCTCGCATGATGGTATGAGCTTTAAATATCTTTAAGCCTTTCGTATGTCCACCTTGGGTCAACGACAGAAACTCCCAGATATTCTTTGTCAGGTATTTCACTCCTGTCTTCCCGTGAAATTGTACCATTGATTGACTCGCTCAGCATCCGGCTGCCGGCATCAGAAGGACAGCATATGAGCCCCTGGTCATAGTCTTTCGCCCCGACCGCAGTACATGCAGTACCGGGAAGACAACATATCTTGAGGGAAACACATGCGGCTTTCCGAACCCGTCATCTGTTTTGTATTGCCTTGGACAGAAGGAACCCTTTCGGGGTGCCGGTTAACCGTGTAATCTTGCTTCTAGTTGCAATGTTGCTAGGTGAACCACCGAAAGACTTTTACTCACCCTTTACACGGGCCCTTAACCGGAGTGAAGCGCGTGGCCAGGAACAGCAGGGCAATGACCAAACCCCAACATCAAATAGGAAGTTATTATGAACCAAGTTCCCGGCTTGTCGTCTGTGTATATGAATGGGCCTGCCACAAAAGTCGTTGGATTGTCACGGAAACATTGAACAATACGGGACTGTGTGATTGTAGGTTACTCCGGATGAGCACCCGCTTCATCCCGTCGGATGCCATGAAAGAACGACTGTTGAATTCTGGATTGTGCCAGGTGGCAGTGTGTTGTCTGGTGAAATATTGGCAATTGTGTCTCATTTCCATCCAGGAAACCTCAGGCCAGTGCTACCGTTCTCGGATGCTATGATACGTTTTGATGGGATGGGACGAATATGTCTCATACGCACGAGGTGTTGCTGTCCTGTTCCTGAATCACAGCCGTGATGCTTGTTGATTTATGGAACCGAGGACAATATATAGCAGTAGTTGATGGAAGGAAGCAGCAAAGTGAATAGAATGATGCTGTCTCGGTCCTTCGGAGTAAAAGTTAGGAGCTCACCCCCTGGTTAGTCAGTAAAGCTTCAGGTTCCTGCAGCTCATGCTACGTAGCTTGCCGTTGTGCAGGTAACGCAAGTCTGCAGTCCCGATCAGATGCGTTTTGCGGAGCGGGAAGGAAAACAGTCAGGTCTCCTTGACATCCTGGGAGTTTCTCGTGGGGTCCATTCCTGTCCAAAAGATCTTGCATACTGGGGCGTTCGCCACAGTGGAAGTCGGCAGATGACATGTTTGGGGGGCCGATGACATATAACGGGATGGGCAGGACATAGAAATCCGTAAAACGGCAACATAGATTAGCAAGCACCAGAAACTTCCAGCTATCTGCTATCGTACCTATGTAAGCTCTCCCTGGACGGTGAGTATGCTTGGCATCCCTGTTGCTCAAGTCTTCAAAGAGGTGGCGGGTGGTTGTAGGACACAGACAAGACGGAGCCGCGGGGTAGATGTGCAACAAGACAGAGTTCTGGAAGTTCGGGACCGTACTCAAAAGGAAAGCTAAGACATGGACGTCAAGCCCATGCGGAGTGAATAGGTATTGGACGAGCGATGGCGGGGGAAAACAAGTGAGTGTATGAGTGAGGGTAAGAAACAATTTGTATTCATCAGACGTTGGTTAACGCGAGGAAAATACTCGTCCGGGTTAGAAACGCCTTAGAGGGGGGTAAGAACTGGGTGTTTCTAGCCTTGACGAGTAACCGCGATAGATCCCTCAAGCTGACCATAACCACAGTCATAGCAAAGCCTTGAGGTCCGCAAAAGCGTCCTCACGACTACCCCGGAAGCGCTCCTCGGCTGTCTTCCAGTTGATCACCTTCCAGATATTCTCGACATACGCAGCCTTTCCGTTTAGGTACTGCAAAAAGAGGGGTAAGCTGTGTCAGTCATGGTGATCTGGATGGCTTGACCGGCAAGAGACTGCAAGGGGTAACGAGACAGAAACAAAAACAACCATACCTGGAGGTAGTACGCATGCTCCCACATGTCCACCCCGAACACAGGAACCTCACCGCCCACGACGGGATCCTGATCCTTGGTAGTAATGATACGCAGCCTTCCCTTCTCAGCAGTAGACTCCTTAACGAGCCAACCCCAGCCACTGCCCTGGATGCCCAAGAGCGCAGCAGAGAAGGCCTTCTTGAACTCGTCAAAGCTACCCCACGTCTTCTCAATTTCGGCCGCCAGCGAAGAAGCCGCCTCCGGGTAGTTGGTCTCGGGGGTCTCAGCGGGGGCCAGGTTCTTCCAGAAGAGCGAGTGATTGATGTGGCCGCCGCCGTTGAACTTGATGGCGGGCTGCTGGGCGATCTGGGCGGGGATATCGCTAGAGGCGATGGCGGCGACGTGAACTTTCAAGGCGTTGTTGAGATTGGTCACGTAAGTCTGATGGTGCTTGCTGTGGTGAAGCTCCATGATCTGGGCTGAGATGTAGGGCTCCAGAGCCTGGGGTTCCTGGTGTTAGACATGGCAGTGTCTCTATTCATTCTTGGCTCGCCGTCTGCTGCATTCGGCGCAGAATGACGATTTCACGGTGTACAGCAGTTCAGCTTACATTGTAGGCATATGGTAGCTGCGGAAGGGTATAAGTCGCGAGGCCGGCCATGGTGGTTGCGTTGCCTGTCATGGACTGGAGAGGAGCTTGCGAGGCGAGAAGGTTTTGCCAAATGCTTCCTAGATTGACCATCGTGTCCGATTTTTTAACCCAGCGCCTGCCTTTTGTGTCTGATCCTACAAGATGAACAGTGCGATGGGCCGAATAGACCAATGTCACAAATGGTTGACCGTGACGGAGTGGGCGGCCGTCAAGGTGCTCACGCAAGAATTGCGTCAATGGGTGCAAGTGGAAGGTGAAAGGAGGAGTGGACTCGGTCGTTGATTCCACTTGTCGCCTTTTCAATGCCTCCTATGATTGGTCATCTTGTCACTCTTGCCAAGAAAGGTGTGCCCCTGGAGCTGTGACGCCCCTGCCACGCCTGCGTTACAGAGGGCGTTGTAGCGGTCACAAAGAGCCCGTCAAGTTCCAGATTCGCGCGCAAACGTGCTCAATTGCCCGCGGATCTTGTGCCCGCCAGCCTCTCAAATCTTCTCGTCAAGACGTCAACGGGCCGTCGGAAGAACCTCTTTACAGTTGGCAAGCTGAGATTCGCAACACTGAGAGGAAAAGCGGCAGTTTGAGCTCGTTTGCGTCATCCACGTCGTGAGAAGGTTTCCAGAACGAACTCATATCCACCAGGTCTCTTAAGGCGCTTAGGTTGGTATGGACCCACTGCCGCACTACACCTCGCACGTGGTTATGCTTGACCTCAACGTCTCTTACAAGCACATCTCAGCTGTTGTTTTGAGGACTTGAATGGGCATGGAGGTTACGAGGGATCGTCTTCGGTGATGGTTGGTTCGGAAACGATGGTTGTAGTTGTAGTGGAGAGGACCTTGATGGCCTTGATAGGGGATTGAGGTCTGGTGGTTGATATCTACAAATATCCATCAAGGTTCTCAACCCATAGAAGACAAATCAGCATGCCGATTTGAACACGCCAATACCTATTGAACCGTTACTTAGCCTCACCAACATCTATTTCCCGACTTGATCACTGAGACCAACCCATTTCACTCGAAGGCGACCGACCATATCTCCACTCAGGACCCAAATCATCAAGAGCCAACCGCCACAACCACTCCCTTTCAGACTCCCACGCAACATGTGCGGCCCCGACACCCCATCTTCAACACCTCGCATCGGCGCCAGAGTCGACTTCTTTTCCTCCCCATCCTCCTCCAGAGACCGTCATCTCCTAGGCAACCTCCTCTTCCTCAACCCATCCACCCCCAATAGCCAAGAGGCCACCCATTTTTCGTTCATCAGCCCATCAACATCACCATCAACATCAACAACACCGTCGACATTGCTTAGTAGGGCTTCAATGGTGGGAGGAGGAGACTCTTCAGACGCTTCAAATTCTGAACTCGATGATCACGTGATTGTGTTCATACAGTAAGTTTTTCTTGCTCCCACTTCTCCAGGAAAAGGGAAAAAGTCATGTTGCTGATACAGTGATTAGTCAAATCGGCGATATGACCAAGTCCGTTCATGAATGTGGGCTGCTAACGCAATTCACCCTGAACGAGAAAGCCTGTCAGATGTGTGCTTTGAATGAGAATCTCTCGATCAGCGTTGGCCAGGACGGCATCATCGGGAGGAGGGTGTCGATGATGAGGGGAGGGGTGGTGCTTGGGGACGGAATTGTAGGGTATAATTGTTGATTCATGAGCGTTATATGAATATGGGACTTGGGTGGCGCTTTGGGATGGGAATCTGGATTAAGAGCCTTAGTATTTTGGGAGTTTGATGGGGGAGTTGGCTGGTTAGATTTCTTATCGTACCTTGTTGATGCATTAGTTTGGCGTTGCTCGAAGTTCAAGTTGTTCTGACGTAGAAGACAAGGCATTGAATTACAAGAGCGGAAAACCACATAGCTAAAGGAAGATGTGAACACAAACGTAGAATTTCCCACCCACAGATGGTTGAAACATCATAACCCGAGATCTAGACCAACGAAAATATCCATCCCTAACGCCAAATGCAAATGCCGTGCCGTGCCATGTCGCGTCATATCGTGTTATATGCCAATCACATACCCAAAACCCAACTTTGTCGCTCATCCATGGAAGTCTGAGAATCCTGAAAATCAACCATCACCCACCAATCGTCTAAGCCTGAGTCTCGTCCCAATCCGACCACCGCCTCACGACCTCATCAATATCTGCCACCGCCGCCCTCGTGTTATCCACCTCAAACCACTCTTTATGCTCCTTCCCGCACGACGCGCACTTGCCGCGGTCCATAACCCTCAGCCCGCGCCCTTGCAGCTCGATATGGATGAGCCTTTCGACCTTGTGGCTGTGTGGCATCTTGCGCATCACGTCGCTGGTGCTAGACGACGACACATAGGGGTAGTATCTGATCAACGAAATGTTGTATCCGCACTGGCGCTGCCACTCGTTCAACCGTCGCTGCACATTGTTGGCGCGGCCGATCTTGAGAAGGATCTTCTTATTCTTCTTCTCGCTGCCGCCCCTGCCGCGACTGCGGGGCTCATCATCGTAAGAAGTGGCGTACCGATCCAGCGCGTCGCTGGCCGCCCGCCCGCGCGAGGTCGATCGCGATCGGGGGTTGGTGGTGAGCAAGGCCTTGGCGGCCTCGTGGGGCGGTGTCGCGGGGTCGGTTTCGGGCGTGAGCCAGAAGATGTAAATGTAGCCAGCCTCGTCGCCCGAGGAGAAGCCCTTGGCGAGTTCCTTCATCAACAAGGAGGCTGTCTCGGGGGAGGCGGTGTGCGGGATCAGGGACATAAATTGCGCCGTCTGGGAAACGTTGGAGCCAGCTGGGGGTTGTTGGTTTGACGAGCCCGGTCGCGGGGAGACACCTGATGTGGGAGCCAGGTGAGAGGGTCGCGAGGATCCATCGTGCTGTACGGGCTTGGGCTGTGGCCGTGGCGGCGGATCTTGTTCCTCGAGCTCGAAATCTAGGGGAACACTGAAGCAGCAGCACCAAAGCGACGAGCTCTTCTTTTGCTGCGCCGGTCGTGGAGGTCGTTGGTGTTGAGCAGATGGCCGCACTTGGGCCGAATTGGTCTTGATTAAGCCCAAACGCTCGGCCAAGGTGTCGATACTGGAGCGCTCCTCGGCGATGGCGGCATGGGCTGGCCGGCCGGACCCCGGAGCCGACTGGGCAGCAGCCAGGCGAGCCTGGTCCTTATGCTGGTGACAGTAGAGACGTTCATCGCTCGGGTCGCTAACCTTGATTTTTCCACCTTGGGGCAGAGTATTGGGGCGTCTACAGGGCCGGCCGGCAGACGTGATTCCGCGACATGTTGTTGATGGGTTTTTGGAGTCGGCTCTGCCGAGCCTGGCCTCGGGGGTGTTTGTGAAGATGGGCATGGTGGTCGGTTAAGCACAGCCCGCAGCGTTGTTCGTTAGCCAGGATCAAGGATCGAGTCTCGTGAACAAAGGAATTGTTTCTGTGTCTGTCCTTTCGAGATAAGATCGGGGTCGAGGGATAAGACAGATTATGATGAAGATATTGATGAAGAGGGAAGGGCAGAGAGAAGGACGAGAGGAATGAATATGAACCTTCTTGTGACCCCATCCCCAGCCCCCATACGAAAAGACCCTTGCAACAGCGCCCAGCTTGATCCATCGCGACCCGCATTGTTGGCAGTGAAGAGACTGGGGGCTGGCGGTTATTCGCTAGAGGCCATGTAAAGTTTGCAGGCGGTTGATGGAGCACCGCCTCGACAGCATGTGTCCAGTCCAGGGCAGCACCTCACTGGCGAGACGGGACGGGGCAAGGTTTAGGTAGGGTCCACACCTATTCATCACCAAGCAGGAGTGACCCAGTTGGGTTACAAGCTAAGAGGCCTCACCTTCCCCGTTACTGGATTCTCCAGCGATCTCCCCAGCAAAATCCAGGCACCGAAACGACCGCTGATGTCACGTCCCAAAGCGTCTGCCATCCAATCGTCCCCTCTTCCCACTTCCCCGGAGTCGACATGTTCAATGACAACACATCTCGTTGTCAATTCCCTCTTGTCATCTACGAGAGAAGCAAATCGGATTGAGCGGCAGCGCGAAGTTTACCTACCGCGGATACATCATTCGGCCAACACTGCAGTCTTTGCGCGCATGGTGAAACACAGGCCATGCAGTGACTTGAGCGACTCGGAATCTTCAATTGGAATGCCCCAAAGGCCTTGAATGCTCTTACCGAAACCCAACATGCCACCCGCCAAAATCACATCTCATCCATCATGGTCACCAACACACATCAGCGGCATAGCCTGATACATGGCATGCTCGTCGGCAGTTATCGACTTATTCACCTGGGGCTGCCTTTCTCCTCTCCCCCATCGCTAGAGATGTCAAGCATGTTCGAGATCTAGAAGGATCAGCGAACCTCACAAGCGCAATGGCGGGATTTTCGATGCATACTAGCCACTGGAGGTCAGTCGTGAATACTTATATCAACACTTACTGACACATCGAATTGCTCTCCCTGGGATGAGATTCTGTCACTAGCATTTTGTTGCTTCCATCCAGTCACTTTTGGGCTGTAGAAAGTCCGGCTTTTCTTTCGGTACTTCTCAAAGTCATCAACAAGTCGACGCCAGCAATTCCAAGAAGCTGCTCAACCGATCATTGCCTAGGGGAATGACCTCATAACCTTGAACGAGCCGGCTTTAAATCCCGTCCCCTCGATGAAGCTACAATAGTTCTCTGCGCCGGCCAGTGATTCGTGACCCGGCGAATTTTCGACATCCCAAACCACATGATTCGGAGGACATTACCATCGATGAGCAGTCGTGGCCGAGAAAGGGTCTTGTCAAAGATCAAACTGTCTACCAGTCTTGTGTTCATGAGACATAGCAGGTGAAATGCCATGGCTATAAAAACATTCGATTCCCTCTCTCCGATGCCTATTGCAATGTCGGTCTTACTTTGCTCTCCATCAACACAGTCATGGGTCCACAAAATCGCCTAGGGGCTTGGTGTCATGACAACATAACTTCTCGAGAATCAAATACATGCTCGGCTTGCCGCTCTACACGATATCGCCTAATAGCAACGCACGACGATGGACCACCAACTTGAGAAGCAGTCACGCACATGTTTTCGTCCCGAACACAACCCCTCTCCTATACATGTGATACATGTCAACCTTACGGTTACTATAACTCGGGACTGTTCAGCAAATGGGGAGAATACTGGGAATCAGGGGCGCTTTAATCCTCGAAGCAAAAGCGCGAATGAGTGCGGCTCTTCCCAGATGGTTACTCATTCGTACTCCAACCAGTCGGTAATCAATTCGGCTGATCAATGCTTGTGCAATTCCGCTCACATCTCCCGAAATAACGGCCGAAGCTAGTAGCAATGTCATCGCAGGGCACGCGGCGGAGGAGGCATATTTCGCTCGGACTATGTCACGAAAGGACACTAAGTACGTACCTCAGACACAGCCCCCCCCCCCCCAGTTCACTCTTTCTTTGCAAAGTCCAAGTTTGGAAAAGGCCACGACGTTATCGCCATGTGAGACCTCGGGTAAGCAAGCCTTGGCAGGGCTACCAGGAGGATCATCAGGGGGGTTTTCGGTGCACCCCTAAGGCACCCAATCCCGATCTTACGACCCGCCACACAATTCGAATCTGAAGCCACAGACATTCTTCCCGCTCACAGCTGCCGCGCTGCCTGCATAGCCCTACCTGTGGTGATGTGTCACGACCTGGATCCAAGATTTAGCCATGGTACGCGGAAAGTGTCGCGGCAATGGAAGCCGGGAAGAAGGCTCCTCAAGATCGGGGTACCACGTACTCGTTAAAGCTTGCCGTCCCCAAATTGGGCTGAAGACGGAAGAGGGCATTACCCCCTCCACACTATCACCAGGCTAACATTATCTGCGACTCCCCTAACCCACCGTTAACCCACCGTCGACCATGACTGTTCACGGTTCGGGTACCGGTTCGGCATGTTGTCAACTAGCATGGCACATACCGCTACCCATTACTATCGCATCAGGGTAAGACAAGTCTCCGAGTAGCTGACTGTGGCATAGCTGTATGTTGTGCTAGTCGTTCCTGCTCTTACATCTTATGGGACCAGAGCATGGCGGGTGCGGTGTCTTTTTTTTTTTTTTTTTTTTTTCTTAACATCGGTACCCCTGAATCATGATCGATCACATCGTCGTTGTGAGAAATCGCTGTCTTGATAGGAGTCTACATCATTTCAGCCATTCGACCCTCTCGGTCTCAGTAGTAAACCACTACTTATCAGAGTATGCTAGAGTCAATCGCACAATCAACTGCATCCAAGAGCAACTCTACTCACTAACAACAAAGGACGCAAGATCATGTGCCAGGAATTTTCGCAAGTCAGCCGGGCGAACTATCGACGACTTCCGGTACGGTCTCTATCTGTGTACCAAAGATGCTCCATACAGGATCTGAAGTCCATCAAGGATAGCAAGGTTCGGTACAGGGATTCCCAGAATCCGATATCACGATATGGAAAAGTGACCCTATCTAAGGTACCGATGGCAAAAGTCCCGGACATACGGCATTGACTGAGCCCCAGCCACTGCCGTACTACCCATGAAGTAATGTGCCACTCTACCACTGAACAGCGGTCAAGTATGAGGCTCATGTCTTTGACTGCTGTATAGTCTGGGTTCGATTTGATTAGATCCCAGATGGACCTTCTCAATCTGTGGCACATGTCCTGCGCAGTATGCCAGCAGAGACCCTGAAAGCTCCATGTATGAGGTCCAAAGCTAAGTACCGTTAGCCTGCATTCACGATCACAGGCCGCAAAGCCCCATTCTCAAAGGACAACCCTTGCGGCGCGGTACCTAGCTCAAGCCGTTTACATGAGGGCTTCGCAGCTGTATGGTCTTACCCCTTTCGGAATCTAACAACTATGAACTATCTCGCATGAGAAGTTACCTACTTGGACGAAGAAAAGTCCAATGTAAGTATGCTCTCCGGTTTAGAACGAGGTGTCATTTGGAGTTGACTAATACTGTTGACAAGGGCGCCAGCCCTTGACCACCGACAATTGAGAAGCATAATAGCGGCTGTAAACGAGATGGGCTGAAGCCATTCCCTTCTTGTCACAGTTTTGCCGGCATGGAGTACCGGAAGGATCGAGTACTGAACAGTACGCTACAGTGGCAGTGTGGCTACGGGGTTCCCGTCATGGCGCAACGCTTTCCTGCAAGTCACTACGATCGCAAAGCTACTGACGAATGCGAATTCTCGTCTTCAAAACGCGGCAGAGAGTCAAGATCTCCATACCTATGCACATAATCATCCTCTTCTGCGCGGCAATCCTTTCATTTGGCTTTCCCCCGGCCGGGGTTCGAAGTTCGGTTAGCAAAGATGGACCAGAGGCAGGAAGACATGAGAGAAGAACATGCACATCATCGCGTCGTATCAACGCATATGACCATATCACAGTAGGTTACAACTTGGATAGAGTGGTGGTGACAGTCGCACTGTCACACAGCAGGTGCATGGGTAAGTTACCTTCAAAATGCTCCGCGAAACCCCGCAAAAGCCGCCGGGGGCTACACAAAGCATCGCTTTGACAACTTCTATCTCACTTGTTCCAGAAAGCTTCTACTACACTACCACCTTGGTCTACTGAGCAAACGATATTTGGTTTTCACCTGCACGCAATCGTTGTCTCAACCACTCAGTTATTTTGTGCTACACCGGAATGCCATACGCCATACACCATTATGTGGTAGGATCGCGGACATGAGCGGATGTAGACATGTGCATACTGTATTGTCTTGACAGAGGCTGAAATAACTCGCAGATGACTATCGCCATGCCAGAAAACCGCTATCCGCTGTCATAAGATTCCCATCTGACTGGCCAAGTTTCCCATTCTTTACGAGGTGTCTTCTTTCCGACCCATTACAGTAAGTACCTTTGCCTAAACCATTCATTTCGGGTTCCCCATCAACTGTTGTGGAGAGTTGAACCTGCCATCTAATATGTACTAGGAATGTAGTCATGTAGTTTTTCTTCCTTCTCCGTCCCCCCTTTTCATCCCCGATTGACGCGGTTTCATTTCGCCATGCACGCTCTTGGTGTGCAAGTCAAACGTGTTGGCGCCGGGCCAAGGTACCGATTTCAGTACCATGTACCACTTCTCTACCAAACTCGCTCGATTGAGTCTCTAGTCGAGTGTAGCCAAGTAAGCGACATCTTTGACGGAAGAGACACGACAAGCCGCCGAGTCTACATGTGGACGGTGTTGCATTAATGGATATGGAAGGATTTGATACCATTGTAAGTCGTTTGTTGATGGCTTCAGTCGGCTGATAATTTCGGCCATCTGGACATGATTTGGAGGTTGTCCGATGCTCATTTATACTCGGATTCTGCCAACCAACTCTGAGTTTTCCTCGACAGTCTCGACAACTTCAACCCAAGACGACTCCACAGGATACGCGGGCAACGCAAGACACATTCTCGAGACACTCCGTTCTAAGTCCTACAGGCTTCACTTTGTATCCCCCCAATATATCAGTCGCCTCGCCCGGCTCTTCTTCTCGGCTTCGTTTGACTTGTACCTCACACGTTCTTCGCATATCACAATCACCATGGGCTCAGTAACAAGAACCACGCCACTCAATGAGCAACTCTCCATCCTCTATGTCGACTGTTTTGACTCTTTCACAAACAATATCATCGGTCTTCTCGAGGAGCGTCTAGGCGCAAATGTCATCATGGTTCGCATCGACGACAAGCAGGCGGATAGGGATCTTCACACGCTGCTTCGGGCCGTGGATGGCGTTGTCATCGGGCCCGGACCCGGTCATCCTGGAAACCCCCAAGATGTTGGCTTCATTAACAAGCTCTGGGCTCTCAGTGACTCAGAACTCCTTCCCATCTTTGGCATCTGCCTCGGCTTCCAGTCTCTGTGCCTCAATCATGGTGCCGATGTCAAGAGACTCGAGAGCCCCCGCCATGGCATTGTCAGCCGATCCACGCACCAAGGTACCGATATTCTCAAGGGACTCGGTGATCTCGATTGTACTCAGTATCACTCGCTTCATGCCGATCTCGAGCTGACAGGAGCTCGCCCGACCCACTTCTGGCAACCAAACAATGTATGCCCTGATCTGTTGCCTCTCGCTTGGGATCTTAGCGATGGGAATAACGGCCCAGTGTTGATGGCTGTGCGCCATGTCTCCAAGCCGTTCTGGGGATGTCAGTTTCATCCCGAATCCATCTGTACCTCGGAAGCTGGCAAGGACTTGCTAGTAAACTGGTGGAGGCATGCCCTTCAGTGGTCGGCCCACAACGGTCGGGTCAAGACCATGGAGCTACCTGGTCGTTATCTACCCAACTCGCTCTCCAGCTTCTTTGTGGACGCACCTATTCAGTCTGGTCATCTACAGGCATCTCACCTCGCACAGGAACTGCGCTCGGCTGCCGGCCGTGATGACATCTTCCTCCGCTGGGCCAAATATCCAGCTCAGGGTGTGACCCCCACTGTTCTTCTGGAGAAGCTCGGTCACCGAGATGACGAGGTCATCCTTCTGGACTCGCAAGGACATAACATGGGTCGCTTCGATATTCTTGGACTCGTCGTACCCGGTAAGACCGCGAACGTCACCTACAGCTCTTATGACCGCACGCTCAGATATGGCAATCACTTCAAGAACATCGATTCGATCGAAGAATGCTGGCCTCTCTTTCAGGAGGCTCTCGATATCTACTACCCCCAGAACCAGGAAATCGATCGGTCCAAGCTGCGCTCCGATATGGACAGGTTTATTGCCGGTCACCTGCCCGCCGACAGCCCCTTTTGGGGCGGGTTTATGGGGTATATTTCGTACGAGGCCGGACTTGAGACCATTGACGTCGGGCTTCCCGAAAAGCCAACCGACGGCTCAGCTATCCCCGACATTAACTTTGCCTTTATCCACCGTAGCATCGTTATCGATCACCATACCAACCAGATCTACGTCCAATCCCTTCTGCCCAATGATTGGACCTGGATTCTCCGTGTCGGCAGCCTTATCGACTCCGTTTCTGCTGCCTCCAGCAAATCTGGATGCCCGTCACTCACTTCCATTGCGGATACTCGTCACCTCAACGACACACTCGCCCGCTCCACCATCACCCGCCCGACCGGCGATTCCTACCGCGCGCAAGTCCAAAATTGCCAAGACCATCTCCGAGCCGGCGACTCCTACGAGCTCTGCCTCACAGACGAGAGCTCCATCGTCATCCCCTCGGACCCATCCTCCAACTCACACTCACCCCTCGACGCCTGGTCCCTCTACAAGAAGATGCGCCTTAACAACCCAGCCCCGCACGGCGCCTACCTCAACCTGCCCAACATATCTATCGTCGGTACCAGCCCGGAGCGCTTTCTCTCCTGGTCACGCGGCGGCCACTGCCAGTTCCGACCCATCAAGGGCACTGTAAAAAAGGGCCCCGGGATGACCCACTCCATCGCCAGCGAAATCCTCAACAGTAGCAAAGAACGGGCCGAAAACCTGATGATCGTCGACCTCATCCGCCACGACCTGTCCGGCGTCGTCGGCGCCGACAACACCTGGGTGTCCAAGCTGATGGTGATGGAGGAGTACGAGAAGGTGTACCAGCTCGTGAGCGTCATCGAGGGCCAACTACCCCCCGCGGAACTACCCGGCGCCCCCAGGGGGCTGCATGTCCTCAAGAACTCGTTGCCTCCGGGATCGATGACGGGGGCGCCAAAGAAAAGGTCGTGCGAGATTTTGGTTGATATGGAGAAGCGGCCGAGGGGTGTCTATGCGGGTGTGCTAGGTTATATGGATGTTGGTGGCGCAGGAGACTTTGCGGTGGTCATCAGAACGCTGGTAAGAAACAAGTTGGAGGAACAAGAGGTCTGGCGGATTGGGGCGGGTGGGGCGGTTACTATTCAGAGTACGGATGAAGGGGAGTTTGAGGAGATGGAGATTAAGGCGGGGAGCGTGTTGGAGTCGATGATGAAGTGAGAGCGATGAAAGATAGAGAGGTTCGTCAATGTTACCGGCTTGACAAGGGGATATGGTGGAGGAGTGGTTGATGCATTAGAAGCGTTTTCGGCCATGGAGTTATTGGAGTCTGGTAGGTTCTTGGGCTTTCATACAACTCTTTCATCTTCTTTCGGTTTGTTTCCTTCTTCCTTTGTCATGACTGTGACGACAATATCTCATCCTTGTTATATTCCACCTTTCTGTCTACACTTTTCTTTCCCATTTATATGTTTGTTTTGTGTGCGTGTGTAGAGCTAAGCTCGATAGATTTAGACATTTAGAAGAATTAATGATCATGAAGATAAACATCACCCAGCTGCTGACGGAAGGAAAACACAATTTGCGACAAAATGTAGATATGAATGTAGTTGGCTACAAGTGGACTAGAGAAAGGAGAAAAAAAGGATAGGGAAAAGAAAGGCGAAGCACGACGGAGTGCCCCAAGAAATTTTGAAAAGAAAAAAAGGGGTGATCGTGCAAAAGCATCAAAATAAAAAAAAGAACAATAGAAAAAGTTAATGCCCACAGCCAGAATCGAACTGACGACCTCATCATTACTAGTGATGCGCTCTACCACTGAGCCATGCGGGCTTATGTGATTCTCGGATGAAAGAGCGTCATAATCACCAATCAATACTAATGATTATATCATTTCCAAAAATAAACTATTATCGAGAAAGGGCCACTCGGTTTTGGACCTTCCCTCATAGCTTTCTCGGCTGTATACATCCATTGATAGTTCCCCATGTTCGTGGAGTGTGGCTATAATCAACCTCAATGTTAAAATAAGCATGGTTCCCCACCAAGCCGGGTTGGAGGTTCGGACGAAATGCAGGTAGAGATGAAAATACACGATACGATCGAGCCAGTTCCATATCAGACAAATGTACAGTATGGGCAGGGATCCCTAGATATTGACAATTTTGGTTCTTTCTGGAAGTCAGTATAACGAAAGGATGCCACTTAAATTGTTAGCCTTTTCAGTTGAGACCGAATCTCGGGTTCATCTTTGGCTGCTCTATGCTTGCTCTCTCTTGCCCGGGAAGATTGAGACGGACCCGGACAGACAACAACAGATGACCGAACCAAGTTATTTAGGCGATGTTAACAAGACCTCAACCAATCGTGTGATTTCTCTTGGTGTAAAGTTCAATACAGGGAATCCTTCATCGTTATGATCTTTATGTGCATTCCTATTCCAACATGATCAAACCTTCTATGAACCTTATTCCATCAAAAGCAATAAGCTCTTTATGTGTATTCCTCCTATTCCAACATGATCATACCTTCTATGAACCTTATTCCATCAAAAGCAATAAGCTCTTTATGTGTATTCCTCCTATTCCAACATGATCATACCTTCTATGAACCTTATTCCATCAAAAGCAATAAGCCGCCGGCACATCATCCCAATGCTTCCCTTTCGCAAAAACCAAAAAGAAAAGGAGAAAAAAGAAAAGAAAAAAAGAAAAAACCCCCCCCCCATCGAAAACACGTCCAAGAGATAGAAGAGAGAGTGTGACAATCACAGGCGAGCAACAAAATAGGTAGATACGGCAAAAAGAGTTTACAAGGTCATCATCACCAGTTCATGCCCTGCCACAACTCCTCCTCTCCCCATCCCATCTCCAGTAACGCCGGTTTGGAAAGGCTCATCAGCAAGTCATCATCACCTGCGTTACAGCAGCTCTCCACATCCAAATGCACATTCGGATTCTGCTTCTTCTTCTTCTTTGCACCGAGCGCTCCGTTGCTTCCACTACTTCCCTGACCCAGCCTTCCCATGCAACGTTGCAACGTATGCTTGAGCTTTTGCACCATCTGCGCCATAGCATGAAGGTGGGCATTATTACCGTCCAGTGGCTGTTGTGCTTGGTGTCTCAGCCCATTGCTGAAAAAATAACCCTGCTGTTGTTCTATGGGTGAGAAAGAAGAGATAGACGAAGCAGGACTGAGCAGCGGCGTTTGTATGCCTGAAACATATTTCTGACAATGGCTGTGACTGTGTTGCTGTTGATGATGATGCAGGCGATTAGCCAGTAAGTCGTAGGCATGGAGCAGAGTTGCGTAACAGCTAGAGAGAGAAAGGATCAGGACGTTGCTGGGGATTGTGTTTTCCAAAGATAGTAGCGCAGAAGATGTGGATGAGGAGGTCGACCTCGAGCTGCTAGAGAACATGGGACTAGCTGGCTCGGACATCCTGCTGTCTGAAAATGGCGAGGAAGATGAACTGGAGAAGAATCTGGAGGGAGCGCCAACGCTGTCGAGCAAGCTGATCAGCGATTTGCCTGCGTTTAAAACCTCTTCGCAGTCAATTGCGGATCCACGACCTCCGTTAAGATGCTTGACGAGCTTGGATATGCGGGCTTGCAGGTCAAGAAGACGGACAAGAATCTCTCCATCGCCTTCGCCGTTGTCGCTGCGCTCGTCCGAGGGGAAATATTGGTTTCGAGGCGGCTTGGGAATGAAGGATGGGGAGAATATGTTCTCAGTGAAAAGAGAAGATGGTGAGCCCGGGTCTGAAGAAGAGTCGGTGTTGTTTACACTCCATGCGCGCTGATCATGACCGGAAAAGGGCTGGAAGGATTGTTGATGTGGTGTCGCGGGGGTGCGCGGAGACGATGAGCCAGGAGGGCTGGAAGATCCAGAGGAGTAGGATGGTTGCGAATCCATGGCGCTCGAAAGTGCAAATGTGAGGTCACCGGCGCTTTCAGCGAGGAAGGAGTCCATGAAAGGGAAGGAGAGGTAGTCAAGCTCCGCTTGGTAAGCAGAAGCGGAAAACAGGTCGAAGTCGCCGAGAAGACTCGGGTTTACCCCCGAGTTCCCGTCGGGCATCATCTGCAGACTGTGATCGAGTCCGGGCGTTGGAATTCCCAATGACGCAGACATATGCGTTTTTACCATTGGTGAACTGCGTCCCCCTTTTCCTGTATGAGAACGTCAATAAATCACCCTTTAGAAATTAGGAAAGCAGGAAACTGACTGCTCCTTTCGGCCGCTTCTTTCTTGCCCTTCTCGGAACCCCCCTTGCGAGCACCCAGTGGGCGACCGGTCCGGCCCGGAGGAGAGTAAGTACACGAGATACCGAGTCGGTTGCATCGGACACATTCCCGAGTTTGCGGAGTTCGTTGACACCGGGTTTTCATGGTATGACACCGGTCACAAGCGTCTCTGCTCGGTCCCATCTTGAGGTATGTGTATGAGTATGGTGGTGCTGGTGGTACTTTTGTGTGGTATGGGTGAAATCCAGCTGGGTGACAGAGACCCTTTGTTATAGACGGGAGCTTTCGTCAGTGTCGTGCAGACAAGCTTTCTCCGAACAATTTTGTTGCCCTCGACGTGATGAACTTTTTGAGATTGGGGTCTCAATGAACACAGTGCTACTTTGCTGTGATAGTTACTTGTTGATACGGGTCGATGGCGGTCTTGAAGCCGAGGATATCTGAAACCTCGAACTTGTTGATGTGGTATGGGAAACACACAAAACAAGAACCCAGCATTGAGGTGTAGAAGAAGCCGGGTAGATGTATAAATTGAGTTGGGTTTCTGGCGTGGAGTTGTGTTTGGAGTCCCGAAGTGAACTCCCGGGTGATATTCAGGATCACAACCTCGACCCCTTTGTGACACCATGTTTCTTTGGTACAGTGGGCACCTTGAGCGGATTTTCATGGGAAAGCAGAAGTGCAATCCGGGCTTACATCCCGAAACCTAAAGGGAATGTAGAGAAGGGGCCCAGTACCTTCGGTAGGATTATCGGGAGACATGCTCAACCCGCTTGAAGGATAGTATGGTACTAACGGCTGCGTTTACATGTGCTCCGTATGAGGAACGTCCAGGACCATCTACTGAAAGACGGCAATCGGTTCGGTAACGGGAGCACCCTTTACACTAAGCTTTTCACGGCGTTGGTGCGCGGGTAAGGGTAAGATTGTACCTTTTTGGCTGCCTTGAAGGGAAAGAGGGGAACACGGCACCTCTGGATGAGATAAGAGTCTGGAAAAGTTGGAAGGTGTGTCTGCGGGTGGTTCTTTTGCTTAGCACTTTTGTAAGCAGGAAAAGAAGTATATGGGGGAGGTGAAGCTTGTGATTGGGCCAAGGTGAAGGATTCAGTCTTCAGATCGACCGGGGTCACGAAGCAAATAGAGTAAGACGGCCAAAGAGAGACCGATTCCCACATTCATCGGGGACCAGTACTGAGACTAACGCAGGAGTTACTGGCGAATATCGTTGAACCCTAACGGGGCAGTTGGCTTCTAGGAGCTCAAAAGCGTGAATAAGAGAAGAAGTGTAATCCACTTGGATTGTAACTTCAAAAGCAACAACACTTGGCTATACAGGGAAGGGAAGCAACAAACCAGCAGATGGGAAAAGCCCAAATCCCACAAACGGTGCCTTGCTCTTCGTGCCACAATCCAGTTGAATGATTGAGCACACCCAGAATAATGCAAAAAGGCAAGAATTGCCTCCCTATCTCCGACAAGATGGTACCCGGTTCTTTTTAGAATTAGGAGGTAAATACCTAGGAGGTGGGGGACGGGACTTGGGCCCTCCTAACCTCTCAAATAGGGAGCGGTGGCGTCCGGCCTAAGGCTGTGGTTAAAGATATACCCGTTGCGGGTATACCAGATCCGTAATGTTGAGATACCAGTTAAGCCTACTACCATATTATGTAGACCAGTACAGAATAGGGGTCTTGTGCTCAATTCTCTGCCCTGCCCTGTGATAAGGGGTCCAAGACCAAACAGGCACATAGGTACGTTACGGTACTTCTATGTTGGAAATTTCGGATCTGTAGAGACCTTTTGTCAGTGCGAACCGTTGTCGAAAGATGTCAGCTTTGCAATTGGGGGGATGTAAGGTACTGACGATCTTACAGCTGTTGGCAAGGGTCGTTTTATTTACTAACCGGATCCTACGGTGACTGATATGGCTTGGTACATGATGTTCTCTCATTGAGCTTCTGAGCCATAGTAGGCCTGCAACAGCAATGCGAGGAGGTAGATGCGAAAATCAAAATGCCATTCTGCACATTTAATGCTGGCGGCTCTTGGTTTCGGCTCATATGAACGCGGGATCGATCCGTGCCGCGAGATAGCGGATGAGTAAATGTATCTATTGTGGGAAATGCCAATGTCGAAAACTTTGCGTGGCGCTTTTGGGAAGTTTGTGTACCTCACGGATTGGTCCCCCATGGAGACCAAATCCGAGCCTCGTTGCCTGTGATGACATGCTTCGGTTCTTACGTGGGGGACCCTATAACCATTGGTCCAGTATAATCTTAACCGAGTACTGTGACATCGAAGGATCTGGTGGTGCGACCCTCCTACCGTATCTTGTTCACCAGCCAATAAGACTGACTATCTGCTCGCCACGGAAGAGAAGTACTTCAAAGAGATATCAAACCGTAGCATGACTAGGTACATGACCCCCCTGATTAAAATCGTTCGAGACAATCAATGGGAACCCCTCGTTGAGGTCACTCTCATACCCGAAAAGCTCGGCGTTGGTACCGAAGACTTTGTTCTAATCCTATGGAATCCTTCAGACCATTGACTTTGCAGGTCGACATCAGCAGCAACCGTAATCTAGAGACATACCATCACAGGGAGCAACGGTTTTGGCAGCCTTGACCCCGCTTCAGATCCTCTGGTTATTGGCAATGTATTTGATAGAGCCCTGTCGTGTATGCTTACTTGCACCATTGCACTGGAGACATATCACCTCCCGTGGGACAGAAGTAGTTCGGGCGATCCAGTTTCATGTCTCCGGAGAAGGGCTTAGGTAGGTAGGCTATCACTCATGGGGATGCAATTGCAGAGTGCCCTGACAATGTATGCGACCGAAGCTTTGCTTTCATAGCCACTGAGTTCTGATGCATGGTACTCAAGAGTAGAGGCACGAGGCCTGATTTCTCATCCCTTGCTCCTTCTCGTATTATCTGCTCCATCCATCCTCTTCTTCCAATCAGAATGTCGCTGAACAGATACCGATGCTCTGTTGGCGAGGTAGATGCTTAAAATTTGGGGAAACGTCTCTAAAGTCGATATTAGACACACTCGCATTTTCCAATCACAGTAGGATATGGTCCATCTCCTCGATTGGAACTTCCAACACCAGTGGTCAGTACTTCTTGACTCGTATGGTTCATTTTGACCGATGCCTTGCGAGAAACTGGATGCCGTAGGCACCAAAGCGGTCAGAAAGCGGGCATGAAAAAGAGCGAGGTTCGGGATTAAGATGGACAACCCTTTTTTTGTTGGGCAGTCCGGGGAGAGTGAAAGCATTTAAATCATGCTAAACCGTTCAAGAAGAAGGCCAACCATGATAAGGCAATGGCACTTCAGGTGAAGTCCCAAACGTCTGTGAGGCACTTGTGTTTCCCTCCGATGAGCTGCTGCGCGGTCCTTATGTCTCGCTGCGCGGGTGAGATCCAGGAGACCAGCTGGAGGGCAGGGCTGTAACACGGAAGGGAATGGCTAAATTGCTGCCCCAATTCAAGCCTTCATTGACAACGTCGACCTTCACTTCGCCGGAATTGTCTAAAAAGGGTCTCAGATCCTCGGTTTCTTTTGTAGACCAGCCGACAGCGCCAGCCTCACACTTTGTGCTACCCACCAATGCTCTTTCTGGACCAAGTAAAGGCTCGAGAGGGTTTGCTTACACTGAGGTGGCAATATGCAGGAATTTGTATCTCTCTAGTGCTGATATGGCCTTTTACGCTTTATGGCAGAATCTGGCAGTGTAGTTCAGCTAGTCAGCTTGGTTTGACCGAGTTCTGTCCCTCTGATTGTCTTTAAGTAGTGCCATTGTTAGGTGACAGGCATCACAATAGTTGAAGCAGACCGACTTTCCTTCCAACGTTACACCACGAGCTAGATATTTGGTCGCTATGTCTAGTGATTATGCTCCATCAAGTGAAGATCTCAGGCCCAGCTGAACTTACGAAAATATGACATGATTAGCATGGTATGGTACAGATCAATAGGTCGACGTCCTTGTGCCGCGCGATGGGAGCGGACACTCCATATTTGCCAATCTTATTATGGTCTTCCAATTTGAAGTTTTGTAAGCACGGGCAACCGAAGGGGAAAACAGGGATAAAATGAAAAGTTTGGAAAAAAAAAAAGAAGAAAAAAAAAGTAACAAATACGAGAGCATCACTATCATAAGTGATAGATAGTACAAGGCAGAGAAACTGGAAAAAATATATGCCCAATAACAGGATTGAACTGTTGACCTTCGCATTGACTTGATATCAGAGTACTGATATTAGTACGACGCTCTAACCAGCTGAGCTAATCGGGCTGTTGATTGTTGACTGAGTGGGTCATGGCAAAAGCTTATGGTCGAGGTTGTGCTTGTTGGTCCACGGGCCCATCTGAGTCAACTCCTACATACCTCTACGGGCAGGCTGGCGCGATAGAGTAATCTTGTATGCAGCGGAGAGTATCAACAACAAGATAGCCGGCTTTGGACCCAGTGAAGAAACGTAAAAAATGAAACATATAATTGAAGCGCGGTAGAAATCAACAGCTGGAAGTTCCAGCGAATCCTTGACGAAGATCAAAAGTATTCCCAGGCCGCTGCTTTTGAACCTTTTTGGATGTACTGAAAGCTGGCAGACTTAGCCTACCTACTGGGGTACAGATCCGTATTCACAATATGTGGCAGGGTACGGGCCGGAATACTGTGGCTTTGGATCGATGTGTCGAGTGGAGGGCATCGTGAGCTTGCCAGCTCCAGGGACACAATGGTCCGTATACAGCATATGGATGAGAAAAGCATGGGCCTGGAATAGTGTTTGGATTTTCTGCGAGTATGGAGACTTGCGAGGCAAGAGTCCCAGCCTGCTAAGGTCTCAGCATACTTTGTTGTCTAAAATGCAGCCGGGCTTTCAAATGTCGCCGGCAGAAGGTTGCCCATCGACCGCACATTTCGATTTGTTGGTGTCCAGACTTGATCAATAGACCCCGATCCTATTACAAGGGAGACATCCGCAGTGGCGTAGTCAAAGGACGAACTTGAAACGTTGGAATAGTTCGTCCGATTTAACTGCGTACGCTTTGACTAGCGTGGGAGTGCCTGACATAGGCTGAAGTACCAAGTCTCGTCTCATGTAGTATCTTCTTCTCTGCTTCAATGTTCGAGATCATGACCGGGGTCTGGAGATGTATGTGTGCCACAG